TTATTAATTAAATGTATTCAATATCTACTTTAGAAATTTATTATATTATTTATCATAAAAATCAGGTTGTAATTATAACTATGCACTAATTATTAGCCAAAACAAAAATTGAATAAAATATCTTTTGGGTATAATTTTTCTGACAAGGTTGTATGATACAAATTCTTCATTCTATGTTTAATTTCTTGAGCATGATTACAAAAAAGGGCATTTTTATTTTCCAAAATATCTTAGGGCTCCATCAATTTTCCAAGGACCTCTCTCAATTCTTTGATAGGCAAGCCATTCTCTCTCAAAGCTCCTTGTCATTTTTGACATCATCGCTGTCAATTTTCTCTCCCTTAGTTGAAAACTGATCTAACTCTGCTGTTTAACCTTTAATTACCAATAACTCTGTTTGTGATTGGAACATTTTCCCCATAATATTATTATGGGGAGAAATTATGCATCTTTTACAAAAATAGCAAATTATACTTTTCTACCAGGTGCATTATATTTGAGGTGCATTGTCAAATCTTTAACTTAGAGTGTCATATGTTTTGACTGAAGAACTTTACTAATTTTACATTCTTATCTAGAATATTAGTATTTTAGGAATTTTGCACCTATTAAAATAGTAAAGTATTTAAAGTAGAGAAATAAATGAAGAAGCATATTTTAAGTAGCTTTTTATAACATTTTATTTTTGGACAAGAGACACCACTAGTTCTGTCTCAAGATCAACTTGTAAAATGTTTTTTCCCTGAATTACAAACAGAGGAGTTGCAATGCAAGAGGTGAGGACGATTATGAACGTGAGTGACAGATCTGTTATCTTGTCTCAGACTCACTCTCTGAAGGAGAGGCAATTTTAATCTGTTGAATATAGATTCTAAGTTCCTATCTGCCTATTCCTATAATAAAGGTGATTAAGATCTCAAAGAATGATAGTTTGTATGAAGGAGAATGACAGAACCATCTCCTACCTGGAGCATTGGAATCGTCTGGTTTAACAGGTGGAAGGAATTCATGAAAAGTGGTGATTGATTCATCCACTCTTGAGATTTTTCTCTTAATTCCGCCAGCTGCCTCAGCGTTACATTAGACTTAAAGACAAAAGAAAGAAAGAAAGAAAAAATGCATCTGGTTTATTAGTATTTTTTTTGCTATATTTCAAAAATGTATCTTAAGGTTGTTTTGTGACATAACTTTTAGAAATACTTCTAAAAGGTAAAACATGTTGTCAAAACTTTTTAAATGAAAGCTTTTCAAGCTCAAGGTCACTTATAAAAATTCTAGAAAATTTAGGTTTTGCTTAATGTCCAGCAAGAAATTATAGCCCAGATGAAAGCATGTCTTCTGGAGTTCTCACAAGTTATTTATTTTACCACTGACACTCAACTTTACTGTTAAAGAAACATCCTAGTTCAAGAATATAAGAAGAAGGATACTCTCATATATTGCTGGTGGAAATAGCGGCGTTAAACAGCCTTTTTTGGAAAGCAATCTGACAACAGTCATTAAAATAAAATACGATATTCTTCAATTCCTAATCTTGAACATTCAGCTCACTGGAATAAAAATGGTATTATCTAAAGTCATATGCACAAGAATATTTGTTGCCACATTGTTTACATTATCAAAAACCAAAAGCAAACACTGGAAATAAAATGAATATTCAACAATTGAGGACTAGCTGTGTAAATTTTATGGTATGAAAAAATCTCAATCTTCAAAATGCATGAATTAGACTCTACCTATTGAATTGTAAGAATTTTCACAATGTATTGTTGTGCGAGTTAAGCAATACATAAAAACGTATTATAATGTAACCTAATTTTAACAGTGTAAACAAACTCTCCATATGAATGTACATATAGTTTAATAATTTATAAAGGATGAGAGCAATGTGCATAAATTATAGAAAGGCATCTCTATGAATGCTAACATTAGTTTATATAGAAGGAAGAGTACAATAAAGAAGGGACAAAAAGAGGAGGCGAGAGTCAAATGAAAAGGAAAGAAAAAAAAAGACTGCGCTTAGAAAATAAGTGTGGAATGACTTCATTTTTGCAAAATTATGTAGAAGCGTGTAGTCAATCAAGCAATAAAGCAAATAATAAAACAAAGAACATTCTAGAAATCAGTGATGACCTCATGTCTATCTTTATAAACAACTTAAAATAATGTTATATTTACAGAAACTATAGTTTAATGATAAAGTAATGGTAAAGCCGAGATTTTTTTTCACTTTCATTCTATCATTAGAAAAGTATTAAGTTTATAATTTGAATCATTAAAGCCATTTTTAAAAATGAGAGGGAAATGATATTATAGTTAAATGAGGTAGATGAAAAGTTAGTTATTATTAATAATGTTACCTTTCTCAACATCTATCTCTTATATAAAATGTTAAATTGTACAACCAAATATGAAGTCTAGAACCTGTAATTTAGGAATTGTTTTTGTTAAATTATATAATGCTCTAGTATAATTTTTTTCTAGTGCCATTATTTTTACATACTTCGAAAGTTAGACAAGAGTTATAAAAAGATTTTTGGAGATAAATTGAAAACTCTGAAGTCTTGCTTAAATAAATCTAATTCTCAAGCATCAACATGGTTCATTCTCTTCAAAGGGCACCACCCAATCTACATTGTTTACACATATACAGGGTAGAAGTGGAGAATGATTAACAGTTCAGAAAGCTAAGGTTAATAGTAGGTAAGATATAAAGAAATTTGAGTCAGCTAGAGTAAATCTGGAAGTTGGCTACTTTAAAAACCATCTTAATATGCAAGATAGAAACTTCGATTTATAAGTCAAACCTTTTCCATTATTGCCTTTGTGACTGGAGTATAAGGTGCATACAAAATTTTTCCCAACAACATAGGTTTCAAGAAAGCCCAAATCACAGGTCCAGCAGGCATATTAATGATGTCTTTATAAAGGGAGAAGCAAAATGGTGCTAGAAAAAAAGTATAATAAAACATTTTAGTATATATTTTGAATCTATTTCCTGATGGTAAATTGACACAGATTATTGTTATCACACCCCAAAATATATGCCTTGGCATTGTTAACAGATGTGAGGCTTCTGATATCAGTTAGAAAGCATAGTAACAAATCTTTTTTAGATATAAACGTTTAACCCAATAAACTAGCCCATAACAAGTGATGCATTTTGCCAAGAGGAGTTAGAAAGGTTGAAAATCACATTTCAAAATTGCTTCCAACAGATCCACCTCACCAACACTTAATTAAAAAAAAAAATATATATATATATACACACACACACACACACACTACTAGGAAAGTACCAGATACATAAGAGCTGTTCAATAAATGTTTGTTGACAGAATAAAAAAGATGAATAAATGAGTCAATCCAATCACTACGCTAAACCTGCATATAATATTTGGAAGAGCTTAGTTGGTTGTGTTTTACATCTCAAAGTTTATAGCTCAGGTAAACTGCATTGATGTGCCACTAAACCTTTACAGTTCTGCTGCATTTATGAAACTCTTCTATGTTGATACAAATTTATAGTTCTAGAAAGGGGAAAAAAATGACCTGAGCAGATTTAAGGCCTGTTTTTGTATTATCAATTGGCAAGGAAGATGCAGTCATGATTTACAGATTCTTAGTGCTGCAGTTAAGAGACTAGACTTTGCAGCAAACTGCATGGGCTCAAACCACGGCTCTCATATTTTCAAGGTAGGTGATTCCTTAACTTCTTTGTGTCTCTTTTCTCCTTACTAAGATAGAGATATAGTCGTGCACATCTCATAGGGTTGTTGTGAAGAGTGAATGAGTGAATATACGTAGCATTCTTGATGGTTGGTAAGTACTGTATAATTGTTTTCTATTTTTATACTTGGAGAAGATTAACACTTCATTTATTATAAAAGGCTAACATTAGTAGACAGTGTTAGGAGGTAACATCACCATGCTGATTTTGAAGTATACTCACTGGTATGTGTGGGAATTCCATATTTTGCAGCAATTTGCTTTTTACTTAATTTATAAGTCAAAAAATCCTTGGTGTGGTTGCCTTTTTGCCTTTGGGAAGAGGGCAGCAATGCAGTTAAGTATTCAGTGGTAATTCCCTGGGAACACAATGCTTGGGAGATGGTACTAAATGATCCTTGGGGTGAGTTCATCCGGTTGCTTCTGTACATTGCCTGTAAAATAAAAATCCACAATTTATAATTGTAATAACTATGTATGGTATCAGGTGGGTATGAGACTAATTGGAGGATCACTTAGTAAATTATATAAATGTCTAACCACTATGCTGTACATCTGAAATTCATATAAAATAATATTGAATGTCAATTATAATTGAAAAAAAATGAATTAAATACAGTTTTTTAAATCCACAATTTATGTTGCCAGATTAGAAGAGTTTTCCTGTATGAATTTTTTAAACTTACTTTATTTGTAACATAATGTATTATAACTAATCTCACGTAAAAGGCAATATGACAAAAGGGATTTTCTAACAAGAATGTTACTTTTCTACCTGTGTTAATGGAACACTTCTGGGCAGATGGATTTGTTTCAGAGATCTCATTTTGTCAAGCAGTGGACGAGAGCCAGAAGCCAGCTGATTGAGAATTCCTTTTAGCCTTATGAAGAGTTCTATCATCTTTTCTACTGGCTTTTGATCTTCCCTAGGGAAAAACACCTAACAGAAACAGAATAAAAATAAATGATTTATGTGGAGAAAGTAGAACCTTCACACACTGTTGGTGAAAATATTAAAAGGGACAACCATTTTGAAAAACATTTTGAAAGTTTATTAAATGGTTAAACATAAATATACCACATAACCCAGCAATTCCTTTCCTAAGTATTTACCTGAGAGAAAAGAAAACATGTCCACTCAAAGCTTTGTATGGGAATGTCCATAGCAGCATTATTCGCAATAGCCAACAAGTGAAACAATACAAATAAACTAATAAACTAAATATATATCCTTAAACTGGAAGGTTATTTGGCAATAAAAAAAAAAATCAAATACTGACACATATTTCAAAATGTATGAAACTCAAAAACATTATACTAAGTGAAAAAAGCCGGACACAAAGAGCACATATTGCATGATTCAATTTGTATAAAAGGTCTAAAGAATGCAAATTTATTGAGACAGAAAGTAGATTAAAAGTTGATTGAGCTAGAGGTCAGAATGAGAAGTGACTGCAAATAGACACAGATTTTTGGGAGCAATTTATGGAAATGTTCCAATATTGGATTGTGGAAATATTAATGCGATTCTATACATTTACTAAAAAAAAGCATTGAATTGTACACTTAAAATGAGTGAATTTTATGGCATATAAATTATATCTCAATAAAGTCACCAAAAATAAATTATTTTAAAAGTCAAAAAGGCAAATAGTAATTACATAATTCTTCATGTATACTATTGCTCAAACCCATGTAACATGCTCCTTAAAAGCAGAAAGGCTCTGTCAAAAAGCTTACAGGCTTAATCATAAGCCCATTATGCTTTTCCGTTGCAGAAAAAAAAAAACATTGAAAATATTTTAAAATAATTTTATTCTCTTATTTATTTATTCATTCAACAAATATTAATTAAATGCCTGCTATATTCCCAGCACATCTTCTCTCCACTAAAGGGGCTTTGGTCTAATAGGAAGAACAGATATCAAGCAAGTCAACAAACTAAAGGCTGGGTAATATGAGGAGGTTGGTGTGAGTTTAGCTAAGAAATCAAAGGAGGTCTTTCCAAGATGGAATTCCAAAAGAGAGAAAGAATAAACCACAGAAAGAATAAGGAGAGGAAAATTATAGACAGAGGGGGAAAAATGTGAGGTCCATTAGGAAGGAAAGCTCTTGGCATGTGCAAGGAAGAAATAACCAGCATTATAAGCACAAGATTCAGTCAGAAAGATGTCATGCAGACATAGCCGCCTCCATAGCGCAGCAGCTAATTGCAATCAGATTTTTTCTAAATTAAAATCAACATTCTGTTTTTTCTTCCAGCTCTGCCAAAATTCTAGGCATTCCTATGTTGATATGAAATAAATTGACTAATGAAGAGAATATTTTTCATTATTATTGTTTGAGATACGTAAAAGAATTAGGTCTTCGGCTTGTCAAATGTACGTGTTTAATTACTAGACTCGACAGAAAATATTTGATTTGATATATGCTCTGCAGAAGCATTACAAAACAAGACTTAAATTTTTAGATGAACAAAATTAATACTATCATTTAATATACACTTTATTTTTTTATTTTTGTTTTATTATTTGTGTCTATAGCACCTGGTCTTCCTATGTGGTCTCCCATCCAAGTACTAACCAGGCCAGACCCTGCTTAGCTTCCAAGAACAGACATCGGGCTTGTTCCAAGACCATGGATTATGGTTCCACTGGGACATGAATCCAGGACCTTCTGCATATAAAGATGTACTAACCGCTACACTATGAACCACATCCTCATATACACTTTAGATTATAATTTATGTGAAACAACTGTCTGTTTAGTTAATGGGTATTCTCTGAGTTCCTCTATGGGCCAGGCACTGTTGATATTTGAGATGTTTCAGTGAACAAAGAGGACCTAGGAACTTATATTCTAATAGAGGCAGACAGAAAATAAATAATAATAATGGATATTAGATAAAAGATATAGTATTAATCTGGAAGGGCAATAGAAAACAAATAGAGCAAGAAAAGTTTTGAGAGTACTGTATGTGAAGTTGGTTGCATCTTAAATAGGATGGTCAGAGTAGGCCTTGTTGAGATCAATGATGAATAAAGACAAATAGCCCTGTAAACCATGTGAAGGGTGCCTCAACTTATGGTGCCCTGGACCCAGGGAGTAGCCAAGTAGGAAATGGAATTTTAGAAATGGAGAGAGGTTGTGCAGATCCTGGAGAATTTGAGGGTTTACTTGAATAAAATAGGGAGCCACTGGAAGGTGTTAAGCAGAGGGGTGCTATAAAATTACTCAGTTTTAAAAGGATCACTCTGGCTGCTTAGGGATGGTAGGGTGGAGAGGGGGCAAGTGTGGAGGTAGGGAGGTGAGTTAAGAAACTATTATAGAAATATAAGTGTTGGATGATGACGACTCAGGAAAGAATTATTTATAAGTAGTCCTAAAATATTTTTATCCCCTTTGCTGTTTCAACAATATAAGTCTGCCGTGCTGCTTTTAGTTTTTCTTACTAAAAGGGAAAGACATTTTTTCAGTTCTTTTTCAATAACATGTAAATATTTTTGACTTACAATAGACATGAGTGAACATAAAGCCTAATTTCCCTATATTTATATTTTTCTTTCAGTTTTTTTTTTTATTAACTAAGTAATGATAAAGCATCTACTTATTGCAAGACGGAGTTATTGCTGGCTTAATAAGCCCTAATTATGACCATTTGTTTTGTTTTACTGGATAACTAATGGTAGCCTCTATCTAAATTGATGAGGAAACACAAAAGCTCTTTGAAAACACACCAAAAACCCTTATTCTTTTACTAGAAAAAAAAAAAAACTTCATTCAAATCTTTATTTTTATACTACCAAATTAATGCTTGTTCACTGTAAAAAAATTATAACATTTGTACTTCATACTTTAGTATAGTATGTATTAAATTTAATTTCTGGAGTTGGATGCACAAACAGAGTTAATGAGGCCATAATATTAATTTTCTCATCTATAAATGTGCAAATTTGCAATATATGATCTCTAAGGTCCTTTATTTAGCTCTAAAATAAAACTATAATTCCAAAAGCTATACCAATAGATCTCATTCCTTATAGTATCAGAGGGCATCTATGTGTAATCAAATAATTTTATACTAAAGTATAAATATAAAATATTTCATCAGCAGTAACTTGCCTTGTATGTGAAGTTGTAAAGGTCTAAATAGTGTAGAAGAGTCAGTCCAATGAGATAAGACTGACGAGATCTCTCTGGAAGAGGCAGGCTGCAGAATTCCTTCATGGCATCTTCCAGTTCGAGATTGGTCATATTAGCATCACAAGAATGCAACCAGAACACACGAGAAATAATCTGCAAGTTGGAAGAAGAAAAGTATTTTAGTTGTGAATCCTCTGAGAGTCATCTGTCCATTTTGAGAGATTTTTCTTATATATTCTTAGACTTCATTTAAAAAATATAACATTATCTTCAAAATAAAATACCTTTTTAATTCAAAGCATTAATTACTATCAATAAAATTAGAGAGAGCCATAGTTCACTGGAAAGCTTAAGAAATAAGATGGGAAAAGAGATCAAAAGGCATTTACAATGATTCCCAGATTTCTTGCTTGAATGACTGGATAAATGATGGTACCAAGGAAGATAACTGGTTCAGAGTAATTTTGGAGAAAATACTAGTTTAAGACCTATGCTGCATTTAAAATTTAACCTTACTTTATTCAAATTGCATTTCATTTTTATAATTGTTCAAAATTATACTCTCGTACAATAAACTCTTGGGTCTAGAAATGAAAGGCAAAGAAAAAATTCCCAGAATCATGCAATAATGTGAAGCGACCACCCTGGACAGTAATGCTTGCATAAAAAGTAAGGTGTGAATATGGGAAGTAAGATGTCATCTCTATTGCCACCGAAATAAAGAGAAAAGTTTAAGAAAAGTAAGATTGTAGAAACTTTTCTCTCTTTCCTTTTGAAGGTAATAAGAATGTATGCTCTCCATTTACAGGGTTTAATTTATTCAAATGAACCTGTTCTTTAGAAGCCAAAAACATGATTGCTGAAATTAAGTTTTAGTATCAAGTGAGCAAAAGGTGAGATCAAAGGGAAAAGGTGAATGACTATTATTTTCTAGGTCAAGAGGAAAAAAATGAAGGCAAAGCAGTCTTGATTCTTGAGGGAACCAATTAACATGACATAAGTAAATATAAATATTGGACAAAGGCAGTCTTAAAGCCTTTAAAAAAAACATTATCCAATATCAGAGAATGGCTGGGCTTTGCTGAGAAATGACACACACTGTCACTTGTAAATTTTGAATGGATGAGGGCTTAAGCTCTGCAGCTCTTTTGGAAAATTTCTATGACACTTGCAGACAAAGGACTTTAAAAAGGGATAAAAGATAAGACATTCCAAGTGAAAAACCCTATTATCAACCTATAAGGAAAAAATATTATTCATTTTCAGACCAAAAATGTTTAATACACCCACAAATTATCCAGAGTTCCCTTGATCATACCTATTGTATATACTGTGTCTTGTCTTGGGACTTTTAAAAAGTGAAAAAGGATTAAAAATGAGTATTTTTATTTTAGTTTCAGCAAATTGCACATAGTCTCTCTGTATCCCCACCCTAGTTAGTTTTCTGAAATTTTACTTTAATATCATCATAATAGAATGTGCAAATTGACTTCAGATGATGTGATTGTGATAGCGAATATAAAGAACTAATGACACTTCTTAAGAAAATTACCTGGGGGTAAAGAAAAGGAGAGGATAAAGGAAGCAAGAAGGAGAAGGAAGTCTTGAGGAAAAGGAACAGACGGTGATAATATTCTTTCTTCGGGACTTTTCTTCAATCTTCACTTAAGAATCAGGCCTCTAATTTTATCACTTCTGTGGAAAATTCACCAGATTTGCATTCAACTACTCAGCATTTTATTGATAAGGGCTCAATAAATACTAAATGCTTTTCAGACTTATAAAAACTGGATGTAAGTACAAAAACATTCCACCCCACCTCAGCTCTGTTATCAGGGATAGGAATGGCCAGCAAATTGTCAATACTCCTATTGGACATTCCTGTCATTCTCCTCAGTTCTTCTTTCAGCTCTTCGACATTTTTAAACATTTCTATTAACTGACCTGCAAGAAAAACAAAACAAAACAAAACACCAATGTTAGTTGCAATGTAATTTTTTTTTTAGTTGTACTAACACAGAGAAACCTTCTGGACTAAAGCATATATTCAACATGCATGCTTTATGTCAAGAACAGATGTAGCCCAGTTTTGGAAAACTTGGCATCTTAAAGATGTATTTCTACTTGATTTAGACTTGTTCTTATTATGATATCATTAACCCAGGTAACAGATTGCTCTGTGTTATAAATTTTCCTTAGATGACTAAAACTCAAGGTTCATTCAAAGAAAATACAGTTTCCTCACAGACTCAGATCAAATAATGCACTAACTATATATCTCTTCATTTGATTTATAACATCACACAAGTTCAAAATGTTTTTTACCTCAGATCATATAATATTGTCAACATAGGGCAAGGTTTGCTAAATCCACAACATAATGCCACAGGGCATTTTTCTTTAATTTTGCCCAGCTCATTACAGTTTATATATGGTTTTTATAATCATTACCTCACTTTTAAATAGAATGTTTAATATCAAACTCTTTAAGGACTGTGATTATAATTATTGCATATCTAGGTCATTTAATGCATAATATTTTGACTTTATTTTGGCAGATGGCAATCTCCATTCTGCAAAATGCCTTTTGATTTCCTCACGAAGTATCCCTCATGCAAATACACTTTATTTTTGGACTTAGTGCCCTTCCAATTTTGTGGCTGCCTGTTGTCCAAAATTCTGAATGCTTTTCTTTTCAGTATTGAGGTATTATGCAAAGAAGAAACGTATTGCGTGATGCCTCATGCTCAGAATACTAATAGAAGGTTCTGAATTGAAATTTCTATAGAGAGCAGTGCATCTTTTATTCTTTTTTATTTTTTAAATCTTATTATTCTCATGGAAGTAAATAAAATTTTGTACTAGCTCATGCAACCGACTGTCTAATCTACTTTAATATATCAGAGAAACAAAAGGTAAATGGCATAACTAGTTAAATTTTTGAAGATCTTTTTGCTGTGAAATCAAATTTCCCTGCTTTATTTCTGCTAGCTTTCTGTGCTTTTACTTTAGACAAGTAACCATATTTGAAAGCTTTAGGTTTTTGATATGTGAGAGCAAATACAAAGCAAGTTTTGTTGGAAACTTCAAAAAAGCCTTTCTTAAATGGCAGCATGTGAATCACATGCATTCTAATAAGACAGCATTTAAAATATGGATGGGGACACACCTGGTTTTCCAGAAGTATCTGCACTGTTATTGACATGCAGCATGGTTTCTATGGCTGGCATTAATCGCGTGATATTTTCCAAATAATTCATTTGCAATGCCTGTTCTAGGAACCTGGAATGAAACAGAAGAGACGAAATTGTACTAGACATTTTAATAATTTGAGAAGGGATTTCACCAAGGAAGAAGACAATGGAAAAACTTACCAATCCACATTTAAATTAATTTTGACTGGATCCCCAGTAAGCAAATCCCTCAGTTTTTGAGATATAACACTGTCATGGTATAGGATGCTGGTTGCTATCTCGGTGCCAAGCTCTGCTGCTTCGAGGAGTTGCACATGGAATGCACTCTCTTCACACAGGTTCTCGAAGTTCATATTAGAGAGCTGGCACATTTTCTCTACTGAATTGAAAGTTTCAGATTCACAAAGAAGTTCAGTCAAATTTCGAAGCTGAGACACCTTTCCAGAAAGAAGAAAGAGTGGGAAATGGATTGTTACATCATTCTAAATATTTAGTCGATTATAAGCAACCAAAATTGATTTACTCCAAAAATTTTTGCGTAGGTGTTAAGTCAGTTGGAATTAGGCAACAGTTTTACCACAAAGCTCTATTTTCTGTCATGTGAGTCTATCATTCTCTTAAGAATTTTACAAGTCTATGGCCGTGTAAACAAACACAATCCCATCTGATTTTGGAAGCTAAGCAGGGTCAGGCCTGGTTAGTACTTGGATGGGAGACCACGTAAGAACACCAGGTGCTGTAGGTGTAAAAATAGTAATAATAATAATAAGGGATTGTAACCTCACAAGGTCCTCGCAATCTGTGAGGTCAACCAAGTTTAAAAGATGTAGTTTTGTTTTATTCCATTTAAATCACAAATTCTTAAATGAGTGTTATATTTTAGTTTATATTTTAAATCATGTGTAAGGGCAGATAGCAAAGTACATTTGTTTTGAACTTTAAAAAATTCTTCCTCACACCCCTTAGGATGCCTACTATCAAAACTAAACAAAAACAAAAACAAAAAAAAAACAGAAAATAATAGGTATTGGCAAGGATATAGAAAATTAGAACCCTTGTGCATTGTTGGTAGAATGTAAAGTGATATAGCCACTAAGGAAAACACTATGGTGGTTTCTCAAAAAATTAAAAATGGGATCCCCATAAAATCTAACAATTCCTCTTCTGTGTATATACCCCAAAGTATTGGAAGTTGAATTTTGAACAGATATTTATACTCATGTTTATAGCAGCATTACTCACAATAGCGAAGAGGTGGAAGCAACCCAAAGGTCCATTGACAAATGAATGAATAAATGCAATGTGGTATATACAAACAATGGGATATTATTCAATGTTAAAAAGGAAAGAAATTCTGACACATGCTACAACATGGGTGAGCTTTGAGGACATTATGCTAAGTAAGCCAATCACAAAAGAAAAATAAATACAGGATGATTCTACTGGTAGAAGGACTTAGAGTAGTGAAATTCATAGCGACAGAAAGTAGAATTGTGATTGCCAAGGAATAGAAGAAGAGAAGGATAGGGAGTTGTTGTTAGTGGGTATAGGGTTTCAGATGTGCAAGATTAAAAGAGTCCTGGAGATTGGTTGCACAATGACATGGGAGTGTTTAACAAGACTGAACTATGGAGTTAAAAATGGTTAAGGTGGTAAATTTTATGTGTATTTTACCCCAATCAAAAAAATTAATTGACAAGAAAAAGCCTTTTTTAAACTGCAGCCTGAGAATCACACACATTTTAATAAGGCTGCCTTTAAAATACGGACAGAAATACACCTAGATTTTCAGAAGCATATATACTGTTACTGACATTACCTTCTACCCTCTTTCTTATTGAGGGAAACTAGGTGCTTTTGTTCTATGGAAGTGCTTTAAAGGAGCTTAAAATCCCACACCCAATGGAAAAGGAGAAGAATGGAAATTAACTAACTTCTGTCCTGTCACTAATACTCTCTGTGCTTCACTATGCTCTGTGTAATTTGAGGATATATCCTCAAGTCATACTTTCTGGGGGAAAATTATGCCTCTGGGAAAGCCAGCTCAGTTGTGCTTGGAAGCTACCCACAGCTATTTCTTTTAAGAAGTCGAATAATTTTGAGCAGCATTTAAAAAAAGCAAATATATGTGCCATTCATTGCAGCTCAGTTTCTAATCAGAAGTTGTGTTTTGACAGAAATGAATTATTTTATAATGCAGGCAAATGTTTGGAATATTTCTTTTCACATCAAATGGGAAAGACACACAGATGTGTCTTTGATGAGAGGTTTATAGTTACTGCATGCAGGCAGAAGCAATTAAACACCAATCACCTTAGATAACAAATATTATTGGCCTATTTTCCACTATATTTAATATTATAATTGACTTTTGGCTTTGAGCTATCTAAAAATGGTCTCATATGTATTAAAATTCTACTTCCTAGTCTTAATGCTATGAGAAATTTTCCATTATGTAATAGATCCAATCATTTTACCAGCTGTAACTACATGTTTGCCACCCTATTACCTCCTTTGATTTTCCAAATACTAGATATGATTAAACTTCTAATGAATGAAGCCAAACCTCTCGTTATACCCTCCAGTGAGGATATAGAAAAGGATAAATACTGGTAGCCCAATATATTTGTTTTCATTGAGCATTTTACTCAGTAGAGACCAAAGTATAGTTTTGAATTGCAAGTTTGGCATATATGTATGAGAAACCAGTAAAAGTTTATATAGGATAATCTCAGCTTGGTCAAATAAAAATTATAGAAGATGAAATGGAAATCTAGCCATGCTGCTAAAGTAGATTTGGTTCGCTGAAATAAAAATTTAATTCAAGGTCTTTAATGTAGACTGCACGGTGGGACACATCCACCAATAAGCAACTCGATGGTCATTTAGCATTTGTCATTATTTACCACTGTTTTCTAAAAGCAAAACATGCATTAAACTTCTTAAACATTATGGATTATTAATAATCAACATAAGTTTAGAGAATTATAATTCTCTCTTCCAAAGTATGTGTCAAGTCTAGGTTTCAGGTTTGTCAGAGCTTTATATAGAGAGAGTCTCTCTCTCTTTATCACGACCCTGGTCCACATAGTAAAAGTTCAGGCCTAAACTCGAACAATGATCCATAACTAATTCCACATCCAGCTGCAACTGAATTCCTCAGTGCTGTGGTCCCCAAATGCACCTGAATCAGAATTGTAAGTGACATGATGGTATACACTTCAAAATGTCATAGGCATAAAAATTATAAAAGAGCAACACTCCTCCCTGGGCTCTTGGTAGGGGAAAGGAGACTATTTAAAAATTTAAAGGTGTTACAATAAAAATATTGTGTTATATGTATTTCTGCCCACTATGGGGAATATCCACTTTATGTATAGTTCCCCAATCAGGAACTTATTCCTCTCACCAAAGAGATTGGAAAGAAAAAGGGATAAAATAAACGATGAAGGGAGGAGAAAACACAAAAGTTCAAGAGTAGAATGTTAGGACTGGAACAGAGGGGTGGGAACAGAGGAAGTCACCAATAAACAACAGGCATGTGGCATTTTGGAAGGTCTAAACCTTCTTAGAAATACCATGAATAGAGTTTTGGAATGGGTGGGCCCTAACTGACTCTTACAATCAGGATACTAATTACCAGGGATGGCAAAGCAGAGGAGTAAAAGCATTGCTTATTGTAAAACTCCAGAAGTTTGTCTTCACTCTTTCAGTGATATATACTGAACATTTTCTACGTGTCAGACTCTATGCCAGGTGCTGAGGATACAGCAGTAAAGAGACAGACTTAGCGGTGTGCTGTTCCTCATGGAGCCTATAGTCTTAGAATGAAAGGGTCTGTCAATTGTAAATAACAGCCCTGCTTGTTATAAACGATAATAGGTTTTCTACCCATGGGGAAAAAAAATTGTAGTTTATTTCCACCTCTGCAGCTTTTAGAAATTTTTTCACGACATAACCCTCATGGGAACAGTATATTAAAAATGTGGATGCTATCTTAAATTATTCTTAGGTCTGTTCCCACTCCATTATTGCAAATGATGAAGAATGCATTGCTTCCGTGTCCCTAGTGTGTACTGTATGCTCTGCCCAGTTGCTTCGCCAGTTGAGAACTACAATGAGTAACTGCCCAGGTAACCCGATCACGTCTCCAGGGCTCTACTTTAACACTCTCATTTGTTCTTACATTCAAAAGTCAGGTCTTAAGCTCCTACTATGTGACAGAGGCTTCAGAGATGCAGAAGGCATAATTTCATCTGAGTTTATACTCTAGCGAAGGAAATCAACTCTATGTATATAACAAATTATAATGCTAAGTAATAAGTTGCAAAAGCCAGGAATCTCACTATCATCAGGGACTCTTTCTTATGCCTCACACCCCACGGGCTGCTATTTCATGTTAACTCAAATTCTTACAATACTCTTGAAACTGCCTCTTCTTTCTATTCTCTGCCATTGACATAGTGCAGGGTCTTGCTTTTTGCTTAGGTTACTGCAAATATCACCTATTTGGCTTTCTTCCAGTTTATCCTCTATGATTCTCCCAGAGAGATCTCTTTCTAAAATGCAAATGTCACCTTCCTCAAATTCACAACTTTAAGATTAGATTCAAATTCTTTGACTAAGCATAAAGAGGCCTTTGGGATCTGGGCCCCATCCCTACAGCCCCATTCTTGCCTCTCTCATAAGCAGCTTATGCTCCAGCTGGACACATGACTCCAGGTAACCTATATCTGTGCATCAGGTTCATACCTTTTCTTATAAATGTAGGTTTCTATGTCTGGAATGTGGGATTGTAAACAAATCTTACACAGGCCTGCAAACTCAGTATAAACATTATCTTCTCCATAAATATTTTTCTCTTTACCTCCATCCCCTGCAATCTGAGTTAGACATTCTACCTCCACACACAGAATCCTGCCCTTCCAACACTTTTCTCACTATAATTATGGATCTGCTTTTCCATCTCCACTGGATTGATTATAAACATTTTGGGGTTACATATTATATCTTTTAAGAAATATATTAGTATTATGAGAGCACAGATGATGGATGGAATGAAAGTATGGATAAATAAATGCGCACAAAGTCATTAGCCTGGCTGGGGAAAAGGAAGAAAGATGATACTCTAATATTATAGGAGTGACATTTAAACTCGTCCTTGAAGGATGAGTAGGAATTTTATAGATGAATGCATAATCTCCTTCTCATTTGCACAAACAAATTAAGATAGTGCTAAATTAAGTACATTTGAAATTTTGATTTGTGTAGAAGACTAAGACTGAAAGGTAAGTAATCCAACTAGCATATTTATTTATAATATACATGGACATGTGTTTTGGATGCCTGCTTAATTATGCCATGTTGACTATATAACAAGTCATCTTGCTTGCTCTGAATAAACCAGTTCTAATTTTACTTTATCCCTGGCTACATAACTCAAATTAAACTGCTGTTCTTACTAGAAAAGCTGCTTTCAAAATTTAATAGGGTTATTTAAGAAATGAAATGAATTTCATCATAACCTGCATACTACATGCATGAGCTAAACAAAGAATAAGACAAACATGAACCAATTCAAATTACAGAGCTCTAAATTTTTTGTTTCATTTTTTTCTCTTTCTTTAATATAAATTATTAGTTTCTGCTTCTGATGGCAATAATAAAACTAAGGTTAGTCAACTTCTGAGATTTTTTATACACTGAAATCTAAAACATCAGCTTTTGGAAATAAAATTTTACAGTTTTAAAAATTAAGGTCATCGCCAATTAGAAATAATATTATGAATGCTTTTTCAAATCATGAAGCTTAATGAGCTAACTATATTATTAATCATTCCTTTATGTATATGTATAGTGTAATTAGGCTCTTATGGGTCATTTCATGCAGAGTTATCCACCGATTAAAAATAAAATACCATTACATAACACCAGAACACTTTTGTCACCCTTTTCTATCATAAATACCAAGTCAAAATAGAACCAGTGTTTATGAAGACACAGGTTTAAAACTTAAACTAAGAGCCATCTTGCCAGAGTACTACAGGAAGTGTTGAAGTTTTGTTGTTGTTTTTTTTTCCTTTCAAGGCTTACTTTTGATTTCAGCACTTCGGGAAGTGAAGAGAAGTAATCCTCATAGGAACCATTTTGAAGAAAAAAATTTTTAAATCGAATCGTGGACTGCAGGAGTCTTAAATTTTCTGTAAAGGAGGGAAGAAAAGTTACCTTCTGTGAATTGCAAGGTCATTTAGAAAACCCATTTGAAAGATACCTTTATCCTAATTTATTACTACATTTTTTCTTAGATAATAGCCTAGTTCAACCTAAATATAAGAAGAGTGAAAATTTAACCTTTCCTTGAACCATGGAAACTATAGAGTTCATTATTTTTAAAATATTCATAGATATTCTGCTTAGAGACAAAAATGTTTCTAGCAAAGGTGTTAAACAGTTTTGGCTCTTTGCAAATGGGATATGCTTTTATTTATGACTTTTGGATATACTATTAAGTTGAAGCATTTGGGGGAGAATAGTTTGTATAATCACTGTGACACAAACATGCCCTTGCAACCTTAATTCATGCCTGCTAAACGGAGACCATGTTTAATTATTTGTTGTACTATTTGCTTGCCATTAAGTGTCGAAAAATGATTTTGGTGTAAGAAAAGAGAATGCACATCTATAAAATGTGAGAAAATATTTTATCTTTAAGAAAAAGAAAAGAAACATCTGATTAAATGCAATCTTCATGGTTGCCCATGTAGGCAGAAAATTGAAAATAAAGTATGTAAGTGTAGGGAGTAAAAATAGTCTGCAACAAAAACTCCTTTGTTTATGTAATTTACATCTGCTTTTCGAAGTCTGTATTCTCATTCTTTATTTTTTGACAACTAAGATTATTAAGGGCATAGAAAATGTCATGTAGGGTTGTGTGAACCCCTAATGTCTCTGGACCTTTGGAAAGTTTTCCAGGTGGCAGTTAGGACATTATCCATTATTTGGCCATTATACATTAAGGTTTATCCAGGTAGCCAGGTGGTACTAGCAGCAGCAAGAGAAGTAATAATATAATAATATGATTACATATTCCCTTCTTATATCAAACCACCAAACTGAAACTGATACATATGGAAAGTAAGACTTTTAAATTTTCTTTCTTTTTTAAGCAAATATCTTAAAAGACTTATTACTTTAGAAGAGAATTAGAAACCATGAGCAGCGTTTTAACTATTAAGAAGAGTATTACCTTGTGATCCCTTGGCCAAATTGTCAGTGACATTTCTTATACATGCCAAGTAAGGAATATAAGGACTATCTGTTGATATATTTAAGAGGGCATCTTCAAAGTTTTCCAGTATTAGGAGCCTATAGAATTAGAAAAGAATATGTAAATTAAGTCACATAAAAATAAAGCAAAGCCATTTTTGCTGAGATCGTTTGAGTTCCTAGTTGTTTGCATGGGTTGGCTTTAGTCTTGAAACACTAGAGTGGGACATCTTTCATCATCCAGGCCAGCTGCACAATGGCAGCATGATGCTGGGGTCGCTGAGTACTTATGTTTTCCATGGGAGTTATAGTTATACTTAATTTAATATCTAATCATAAGTGATATTAAGATCATTTTTCAGCACATTTATGTAAAGGAAAAAAATCACTGGGAAAATTGTGCCTGATAAAATACAGAATTCCCAGTTAAATTTGAATTTCAGGTAAACAATAAATAAGTTTTTTGTATAAGTACATCCTGTGAGTCTTGCATATTTTTCTTTTCCCGTCTTTTATTTTCTTTTCCTCTATTTCTGGCAAACTCCCTCTGGGCTTCAGTTTCTTCTGTTATCAAATGAGAGGTAGGTGGATGATCTTCTAGATCCTCTACACCTATAACATTCTCTAAGTAAATTTAAATGTATTTCACTGTGATTAAAAAGAAATAATGACATCCAATTTAACACTGTAAGATTCTTTTTAAAAAACAACCAATTCAGTGTTCCCAAATTAACCACTTCATGGTTTCTTTTTAAATTGACAAGCATGTGAGGACATAGCCTAAGATTTTTTGAGGCATACATATGTGAGTTAAAAAATGTGTGTGTGTTTTGCATGCCCTGTCACATCAACTGTAAGGCCATTTCTCTATTTTCTAACTTCTTCCTTTAATGTCTACTATTGAATTTTATTATTGTAGACATAGAATAAATGTCAATGGCTGATTTGGGGACCATCTACTTTGAATCAAACTGTACAATACACAAATTAACTAGTTTTGTCAGATATTTAACTTAGATTTTCAAATGCTAATAGAAGAGAGTTATCTTGGCCTGGCTGTTGAACACATAGGAAAGTGTTTACATTAACATTTAAAAAGTCCCAGGGTGTTTCAGTGTGGGCTAGCTATACTAGGTCCTTGAGGAACTTCAAAAAGAAAGCAAAAATCTACGTCAAGAAGTCTCTAACTTGGCAGTCGGGACAGCTAATTGGTTGGATGGCTGATCCTTATTTAAACACGGTTCATAGCTTCATAATAAAAAAAATAGCTACAATTCCCAAACCATCTTGCTTTTGCTGAGGCATTTCTTTGACCAGAGACTCTCTTCCCAATATCGCCTTTCTCTTATGTTTGTTTGTCTTCCTCTCTGTCATAGTTATTATAGCGTAGAGCCATTTCCATCTTGGGACAGTGCTCAATAGCAAAATATTGGACTAACCTTTCAGATAGAGTGGCATGAGAGATTCTCATGATAAAATTTCAAGCATTTTAGGCTAGAAATGTCCTTGAAATATCATCTAAGCCATTCTTAGTTTCATACAGAACATTCTTGAGATTGGATTTAATATACCCCTCCCCCCCAAATTAAGATTCCATATCTATATGCCACTGTTTTGGCATGAACATCCAATTATTCCTTCGAAGTGTTTAATTTATGTATTTATATATATATATAATTGTACCTATTGCCAAAGAATGTTTACAATAAAAGGTGAGGTAATGGATGTGTGCATGCATGAGTGTGCACAGATGCACACACACACACACAAATAATAAAAAGGATAACCTTAGAACAGAAATAATGAGGAGGGAGAAGGCTATGAGTGGAAATATTTTTGAGCAAATTTCTTTAGAAAATTCTGGACCAAAGATTTTTTTTTTATCTTATGCCAAATATTATCACTTTGTGCTAATTTTAAAGTGGAGATGGAAAGGAGTCCCAAGATAAGAAATCTCTTAGTTTTATCAATCTCAACAAGAACCATCTTTAAAGCATTGAATTCTTCCTAATAAACTGTCAGCTAGTTGTCAGCAACTAACTAGCTTGCTGTGGAATTTGCAGGTCTGAAGCACTACTATTATCGACGCTATAGATGCCCCAAGGTTCTGATAAAGATACCTGCCTTCAGCAATAAGCATCCAGTTATCTCAATTTAAAGGTTTTCTTTTCTTTCTTTCTTTTTAAGTTATTTTTGAAGGCTATGCAGGGAATGTGTTTAAAAGAGCTGGCAACTTGGAAGACCAACTTCAGGCTAGGAGGAAAAGTCCTAAGGCTGCTCCATTGCTCTGGAAGTAGCACCTAATTCAGTCACCTTAGAGCAGAAAAACGGTGGGAGCAGAAATAGGAGGAGGTTGTTTATAAAAGGATTTTGCCTAGAATTACCCAGAGTTGGAGAACTTCTCATTAAGTAATAGAAAGTTTATAAGCAGCTGCACAGACTCTACTGTAGACAAAGAAACGAATGGCTGAAAATAAGTTCTTCTATTGGTTTTATTTGTACAAATTTCCATTAGCATAAAAATGTATCCTTTGGGACTAAAGTCAAAGAATTTCAATTTATCAGGTCTAAATGACCTTTATATAACAGATTATCTAGTCTCTAAATTTGCCTTGAATTATAGGAGTTTATTTCAATTCACCTCTACAGATGACAGCTTGCATTGCTACTTGCATTGCCTGTGATAATTACTTCAGTTACTATAGGGAACTCCCTACATTAATGGTCCTTAGAAGCCAAAATCACTACAGTCATTTCCACTGCCTGTTTCTGGGATGACATATTTACATGCTCCAATAAGAGTCCAAATTAAACTACCTATAAACAATTTTGCTACCTGAATACTACTGAAACAAATTTCTACATTATCTCAACTGGTCATAAGAAATACTTTAATTTTTAAAAACCTAAATAAATAGTAATGTGAAAAATTGCAGACTTCTAGATTTTTCATGACGAAAGATCTTAAAAGAGATGGAAATTAGGCCTCCAGTTAGATTTTCCTCATAGACACCAGGTAATCAATCCAGGCAGGACATATTGGATCTAGTTATGCAATTTTAGAATGGAAAAAGAGATGCTAATAAGTTTCAACTTTACTACAATTCAACTATGTCCTTTGGTAAGTCAATAGTTGATTTTTCTATTTCATGGTCTTACACACTTAAATGTCTATGAATTGTTTTGATTGTTTCAGCCAAGTTACCTATCACTTTAGAAACAAACCAACAAATCAACAGAGAAAGACTTACTGTGCAGCCAGGCTGCTTGGGGAAAGCAACCGTCCATCTTCACGCCACATATGTGTTGTATTATCAGAGCCACCTGAAGTAATAACATTTATATAGGTAAATATTTAACATGCTTGCTTAAAGGATTTATTTTTCTTAGCAGAAATCATTCCAGGTCAAAATTAATAGGGAGAAAATGCAGATAAACTGCAGAATTTTTCTCCAAAGGATTTCACAAGTGAGGTCTAGAAATATTTAGGATATTTACAGGGAGTAGGTGCCTACTGATCGACATAAACCCATTGGTCAAGTACATGCATTTCTAACAAATTTTTTCTTTGTTCACCAGATCATTACATTATTTTATGCTAAGATCTGTATGCTACATTATTTTATCCTGACCTGTATGCTACTTTATTTTATCTTAAGACCTGTATGCATAGATAACTCTCGAATATTATAACGCAGATTGACTACTGTGCAACTTGTTAATCAAATGAAGCCAATTTCAGTCATAGATCACTGCATTTTCTTTGCCTTCAGTTGTATAGAATTTAGGAACATCTGCCATCGCTAATCCATAGTTTTCATCTTTCAAAAAGCAGCCACTGATTTCAATTGAATGCAGCTGTGAATGCAAATTGGCTCATTTTAACAGAACAGTTTTGAGCGGTCTCAAATACTATGAAGGTCTGGAGTGTGGAAGGTCATCACTAAGTTGAGTCTAATGGAAACCATATGTGGAGATCCAAATCAACACTGAGAATTGCCCCTAGAAGTTAAATAGGTTGCTGATTCAGCTTGCCGCTTAACATTGTATCATTAAAGAGTAAATGTGCAACAGCATTCACATGAAAAATCGAAAATGAAAATACCTTAAATGGCTACTGCATAAATAAAAACATCATAAATCCAATGCTTTTATTCAACCCCTTTAGGAAACAGTATCACTTATTTCAGTTTTCTCTTCAGACACTACTTATTCTTATAAATAATCCAGTACATTTCAGTGCTGTCATTGTTAACATTGACCTAATCTCTTTCAATGGGAAATTTTATTACCAGCATTAAAGCTCTCCCTTTATCTCTAGTTACTGTGTCTTAAAAGCTTCTAAAAACATCCTAGCACAAAACTATGCACTGATCTATACTTTCTGGTGCTGATCATTTAGTATATTTAAATTAGCATGTATGTAAAGAGCATCACAGAATTATCTATCTCCACATCAGTCATGTTTGAACAACGTTTGCACAATCCCTAGTAACTGGCAGAGTGGCTTTTCAGTTTTCCTGTGCTCCACTCAAGGTGCAGCTAAATATTGCTCTAATGATAGCAATGAATCACTGAGTTAAAGGATCAAGAACAAAGATGTGCAGAATAGATAAGCCTAATTAATAATGGCAATATTGATTATTTATTAAATTATCTATAAATAACAGAATTATTTATAGAATTATCCATATATAGAATTATCAAGAATAGGATTCTGTTGTGATTTATGCTTTTGCAGTGTAAAAGTATATAAAATCATTTTTCTAAGACCAAATCTTGCTCATTTTGAACTTCTAAGTGATACCAAGCAAGTTCAATAGCATTTACATAATATATTGTACGGAGTTTCTCTTCCTCATCAAGTTATTAAGACGAGTAACTAATAGAAATTAACTTTGTGCATATCAATGACAGACTTGATCCTAAATGTTAATAGGAACTTTTCCCTCTTGCTACTTTTCCTTCTGGACTATAAAATATATTGGAAGAAATACTGTACTAAACAGACTTTAATGAAGTGAGAAATATCACAGACCTTTAAAAAGTGAGATTTTACTTTTTTAAATTTATAGAATTAGGTATATTTAAAAATGGTGCCCATAAACCTAGAAAGAAATCTAGCGCACAGATAACCTCTTCTCGCCAGGATGGCTTTCTAGTTAAAGATGTAATTTCATGTAATTTACTACTTTGCAAAAGAGCAAACTTCAACGAATCACTAAGGTAATCTTTGCTCTCAAAACTCAATGTTTGTAAATGGAAATGCTAAATATTAAACTGTAAAGCAGGGATTCTTGCTGAGGCAGAGCTGAGAAGTAGATTTCTTAAGACAGGAAGTTAGCAGACAACCATCTTTCCCTGCATTTATTACCATCTCCATGTTTCCATGATTGCTGAGGAGGCTCCTAAAAAAAGCTTGAAGTGTGTTCATAATGGAGGTTGAATCAGAAGTCGACATGGGGTGGGGGAGGTTGTAGAAATCAGAGTGTGAGGAGGAACTTGGGGATGGCCATGGAAAAATGTATCATGTGGGAAGGAATCTGGCATGATGAGCCAGACTCCACTGGTGGCTGAAAGTGCAGCCATCCTGGGTTTGGTGGTGGCAGGCTCTTGCATGAGATATCCTGGAAGCAAGTGTGCATGTGTCCCAGAGAGTAAATATGAGTGAGTTCATCTAGCAAACAGCTTAAGGGACCTGGATTTGGGCATAGACAGGCCCAGGATTTAACCTCTGTATACTTGCTGGATCTATAACATAGGCAAAATGCCTACTCTCCCTTTGCCTATTATTGAGTGAATGATCTATAAATAACAGAATTATTTATAGAATTATCCATATATAGAATTATCAAGAATAGGATTCTGTTGTGATTTATGCTTTTGCAGTGTAAAAGTATATAAAATCATTTTTCTAAGACCAAATCTTGCTCATTTTGAACTTCTAAGTGATACCAAGCAAGTTCAATAGCATTTACATAATATATTGTACGGAGTTTCTCTTCCTCATCAAGTTATTAAGACGAGTAACTAATAGAAATTAACTTTGTGCATATCAATGACAGACTTGATCCTAAATGTTAATAGGAACTTTTCCCTCTTGCTACTTTTCCTTCTGGACTATAAAATATATTGGAAGAAATACTGTACTAAACAGACTTTAATGAAGTGAGAAATATCACAGACCTTTAAAAAGTGAGATTTTACTTTTTTAAATTTATAGAATTAGGTATATTTAAAAATGGTGCCCATAAACCTAGAAAGAAATCTAGCGCACAGATAACCTCTTCTCGCCAGGATGGCTTTCTAGTTAAAGATGTAATTTCATGTAATTTACTACTTTGCAAAAGAGCAAACTTCAACGAATCACTAAGGTAATCTTTGCTCTCAAAACTCAATGTTTGTAAATGGAAATGCTAAATATTAAACTGTAAAGCAGGGATTCTTGCTGAGGCAGAGCTGAGAAGTAGATTTCTTAAGACAGGAAGTTAGCAGACAACCATCTTTCCCTGCATTTATTACCATCTCCATGTTTCCATGATTGCTGAGGAGGCTCCTAAAAAAAGCTTGAAGTGTGTTCATAATGGAGGTTGAATCAGAAGTCGACATGGGGTGGGGGAGGTTGTAGAAATCAGAGTGTGAGGAGGAACTTGGGGATGGCCATGGAAAAATGTATCATGTGGGAAGGAATCTGGCATGATGAGCCAGACTCCACTGGTGGCTGAAAGTGCAGCCATCCTGGGTTTGGTGGTGGCAGGCTCTTGCATGAGATATCCTGGAAGCAAGTGTGCATGTGTCCCAGAGAGTAAATATGAGTGAGTTCATCTAGCAAACAGCTTAAGGGACCTGGATTTGGGCATAGACAGGCCCAGGATTTAACCTCTGTATACTTGCTGGATCTATAACATAGGCAAAATGCCTACTCTCCCTTTGCCTCAGTTTCTTTGTCTATAAAATGGAATAATAACTATACTTCATAGGATTGTTTGGATGATAAAAGGGATTTAAGATAACAAAGCACTTATCAGTGACATAAAAATTACTACCTTTTTTTACTTCCTTGAACAAGTGGTGCGAGACTTTCAAAGCCATCTCAATCCTGTCCTATATTAGAAAGGACTCGAGCATCTCTGCTATGAGATACTACTCACTTCAGCTTAATCGAATGTAAAGCCAAGAGAGAAAATGTGTCCACTTCACAAATACTGCTCAATGTCACCAATGCTAAGCAGATGTTGGCCTGGGTAATGTGGCAGAAGGCTGTGCTTGGGGCTAGAGACCACGTGCTGTTGAATGAGTCACTGGTTCAGCCTTTAATGACAAGTTTGGGTTTACTGAAGGATTTCCGGAAATACCTACAAGGATTTTTCAGGGGCCACAAAATTTCTACCCAAAGTATGTAGGAACTTGGGGTTATAATTTTTAGGAATTGACATTAATGTTATTCCATTGATTTACTCAGACTAATGAAGTTGCAAGGGTAGGAAATTGAAAAAAAGAAACAAATATAAACACATCAAATTTTCAAACAAAAACATATTTCGTTGATGTATTTCCTTGCCATCTTGACCATCCAATGACATGTTTTAATACATGCCCAAATCATTAACATATTCATAGGCATTAGACTTGGCCATTGTTAAATATTAAAAAACTGAGTTATATTGTTCACCAGGAGAAATGTGTTGTGCCTCAGTTAATAAGAAGTTCTGCTTACTTCTCTGGCTTCTAAAGCACTGATAAGCTTTTGTCATTTGTAAAAATATTTTTAACTTTATCCTTTTACTTGTATAATTACAAGGTGTGAGTCTGAAGATGAAAAGAAAAAGAATAATAAGGAAAAACTTGAATTTAACAACAATCTTGAAAGCTAGTCCTTAATTCTGTAATTGTAGATATAAAAAATACTCTAGACTACCAGAAATTAGTATCCAAGAGTATTCTACCCTCTTCAGTGAGAATTCTTTAAAGCCTTTCCAAACCTGCTTTTCATATGGAAACTAATGGCTTAAGACCTTAAAATGAACGATCAGCTTGTGATCTGATGCTCTCAGGATACTTATTTGCAATCCAAAAGTAAAGTCTACGTATTTAAAAGCTGACAAATTCAGTGGGACAAGCCTAATTCTAGACTCATGCAGGAAAGGTAAATGGTAACCAAACATTTTACTCAGGGAATAGAGATTTCTTCCTTAGAGCCCCAAATCTCTCTCTGTATGTGTCTCTGTGCAGATATTTTGTATTTCCATGTGTGTGGTATATGATGCCATTCTGCATATGCAAACGTAATATTTTCTGACTTACTAGCAACATGCTATAGCTTGTCTTACTGGGATTGACAATAGATTTATACTGATCTATTCATGTTGATATCCTTCATGCATTTTCAAGATGGCTGGTCGAGGGGTACGTTTTTACTGATAAAAGATTCATTCTGATTAAAAAAACTAAAATTTGGAAACAAGGGCAAAAAATACAGCAATTCAGTATAGGCTTTTGTTCCACATAGTACTGGTAGAAATTTTTGTTGAGGTTTACCCCAATACTTATTTTCTATACCAAGTATGAACAGAGTTTTACAAGCTAAGAGAGATTATTTCACCTAAATAAAACCCGTAGAAAGTCACAGCCTCTTTTCCATCCATTTCTCTCTTTCTCCACACTTCGATTAGCTAGATGTCCAAATTTCGTCATAACATATGTCCTCAATGAAGAATAATACCATCCATAAATGATTACTTTGGTTGCACTCTATTTATATTTTTTAGTGGGCTTTGTGACACAGAATTGAATACAGTACGATGGAAATATGATACCTTGAGCTGGGGAGTTCAGTGTGTACAGCAGATGTTTAACAGATTTATGAAGAGTTCTGAAACCTTCATTAGTTGTGACACGTGGGTAAACCTTCTGCACCGCCAGCAGCGCACTAGAGTTGAAAAACAATTAAACCAGATTGCATTTCAAGGTTTGTAGACAGAAACAAAAGGTTATTCGAGGAGAAAATATCTACAATCTAGGAAATTATTCTTATAATATAAAAAGACGAGATGCTACGTTCATTGTTTAATTACTTGTTTGTCTGTTCATCCACAAAAATCTCAACAAAATGTTCATGAATCACGCAGAGTGCTTCATGTACCAGGACTCTAAAGCCTTGGGACTCAAAGGCCTTAAAGTAAGGGAGTAGAGTTTACATCAGTTGTATTAAGACTTAAAAATAAGTGGTTAGGAAAAGCAACTTCCAATGAAAAGATACCAATTTTTTTTTAATTAAAGGGAAAATTAAATTTTGGATATATTTATTAAAAATCAAGCCCAGATAAAAGACCCAGTTTCAGGAATAATTATTATTTAAGCATTTGATAAATATTTACCTTTCGCTAAACAAATGGTAATGTTTTTGGAAAAAAAAAAAAAGGAGCTTGCCCTAATTAAAGACTGCATTCTATCCTTTAAGTGGCCCACAGGCACTACTCCAGGGGTAGCTCAAAATTAATATCCAGACTAACTGGCACTGTCTTCCCAGGATTATTATGTTACCAGTAAGATGAGCAGTCTGCGTTGGAGATGGACAGTCAGCAAACTCACTTATGCTTGAGTTCATTCCATATTTCCAAAACACAATTAGTTACTTAAGAAATGTAATCCTCTTTTTGTCATTAGTACATTAAAAAATGCTGGCATTGTACATATACTTCTGAATCTCACAAATACTATGAAAAATGCAGAGGAAATAACTGGTGGTTTTTTTTGTACACTGGTTTTCTGGCCTGGACTTTTTAAAAAGAGTAAGCTGAGGCAATGCTTTAATTTATATGAGTAGTAACTAGAACGAAAGGCTTTGTTAACAATTTGCCATTGTAATATTAAATTTAGTACAAATTAGCTAATAGATTTTCCCTACGTATCTTAGCCGACTGAAGGCTCATTCTAGCAACAGATAACAGTGTGTGCATATACATTCATGGTACTCTACAATATTTTTGGAATTTTTAATATTTAGATTATCTTACTTTTAGCTTCCTAGCTATGAGTGAAGGCTGTGTTTAGAGTGCTAAATTTGAAATTTCCTCTAGTATCTAGCATAACATTAGGATATACATATTGGTATGTGTATATGTATATAAACATACATAAACATATATGTGTATATACAAGTATCATTTTATTTAGTTCTCTAATAATTCCATAAAGTCAGTTTTATATGCCTATTTTGCAGATGGGAAAACTAAAGTTCAAAAATTTAAGTAACTTACACAATTTTATTCAGTTAGTAGTTAAGTAGAGCTGGTTCTGTCTAATTTCAAAGTTTATGTTCTTGCCATACTACGTCTTTCCTCTGGCACAGAAACTTTGCACCAACATGGGGGGGGAGAGGAGGGCAGAACATTTCTGCATAGAGCCCATAGCCATTGTCAACTTGTTATGCCAGCTGTGTGTCTGGTATAGAGACATGACTGTAATATTTTCATCTTTGCTCTGTGTAAACAGTTGATACCTCAGGCATTTTTATATTTGCCCCAATAATTTCCTGGTTCTCAGACTTTAGTTTTTTCTGAACTCTGATGACCACTGTAACCAATTAAACAGTCTCAGTCACAGATCTCTGCTCACCTGGCCCTCTGCCTGACTTACCTGATCTGTTGTCCCAAATTAACACCTTCAAAGACTGAATACCTAACAATCTCATTAAACTGTCGGCATTGTTATTATTAATATCATTAATAAAATGTCAGTAGACTTAATTCATCTTTTTCTAATAAATTGCAACTTAATAGTAACATCTGGCCCTCATCCTCTCTAAAACCCTTTAAATCATTGATCAGAATATTTTTATTTTACTTCATAGATTTTTTTCTTATTTTCATCAAATAAAAATGAAAGTTATCCCAAACAAGTTGCCTGATAAAAATAATTTTAAAAAGAGTTTTCATGATTCACATCTCAAATCTTCCTCACAAATGGTGAAAATCATGAAAATGTTTTTCATATACACTTCTCAACTTTTTGTGATTGCTCATTTTTGTTAATTTCTGCCGTAACCTTAACATTATATAATCTGGTTTGGGTGATTTGGCTATAAAACAACTTGCAACTTAAAAAAAAATTGTTGGAGGGAATGATAAAAATTTTTATGGTGGTCATAGAGTGAGATAAACTGATGAAACTATAATTTGGTGATAAAATGTAGTCATCTGTGAGGAAATGGTGGCTTTTAATGACACTGTCTGTTTAAAAATAAGTTTATAAAGGGCTTTTTTAACAGAAAAATAACACAAGCCACATATTCAATTTAAAATTTTCTAGTAGTCAAGTTAAAAAAGAAAATTAATTTTAATAATATTTTTTATTTAACTCCAAACATCCAAAATTATTATTTCAACATCTGATCAATATAAAATTTATTAATGAAATATTTTAAGTCTTTTATTGTACTAAGTCTTCAAAATTCACCATGTATTTTACACTTATGGAATAATACAATTCAGATGCTAAAATTTTTTTTGAGGATACTTAATCTATATTAAGATTTTATTACTTTTACAGGCAAAAAAATAGGTCCAAGTACCCACATTGTTTCAAAAATACTAAAAGGTTTACCATTTACTGAAGCAAGTGTCAGTATTTGAAATTTAAATTAATTAAAGTTAAAGTTAAAAATTCAATTGCTTAAATCAAAACCCACATGTAGCTAGGAGCTAGCATATTAGAAAGAACAAGTTTATAAATTAGCAATGCAAGTAAATTAAATAAATAAATAAAAATTGACTACTTAAAAAATGAATTGTTCTAATTAGTTAAAAGTTGAATGTCATCTGCTTTAAAAAGAATTTGAAGCTATTTCTTTTAGTTGTTTCTTTTTTCTTTATTATCATGTACTCCCATTTACATTTATAATCATTACTTAACAGCATGCTCTATTATATAATGCTATAATATGCATAATTTCATTTTAAATTTTAAGAGAATTTAAAAAGTCACAGTGCAATGTCCTTTCTATGTAATTTACTCTACCAAAATAATGCCTGAAGTATTTTTGTTTATTTGTTTTTGACCCTAATGTATTTTTTGGATGCTCTGTGTACTACTGAATATTATTTTGTGGGACTTTTGCTTTTTATTTGTTTTGTTTAACCAAATTTCATTGAGGTATAATTCACATACAAAGCAATGTAACTATTTTAGGTTACAGTTCAATACATTTTGACAAATGTATATAATCATGTAACCACCACGCTAATAGGATACAAAACATTTTGATAACTCCCCCAAATATCTTCATGCTCCCAACAGTTGTTCCAGGATGTACTGATCTGATTTCCAACACTATAAATAAATTTTTTCAATTTGAGAATTCCATATAACTGAAATACAATATCATCACATCCAATATGTGGTCTTTTTTTTTTTTGTCTGGATTCTTTTACCAGCGTAGTATTTGAAAGATTTATTCTGTTGTGTGGTTCAGTAATCTGTTTATTTTTCTTGTTGAGTAAAATCTCAATGTATAAATAAACTATAATTTTTTGCCATTCTGTTTCTGGATATCTGTCCCCCAATTTTAGCTATTGTGAATAAATCTGCTATAAACATTAGCATACAAGTCTTCATGTTGGCATATGTTTTCATTTTCTTGAGTAAATAACCAGAAGTAAAATGCTACATTATATGGATCTACTATTAACTTCATCAGAAGATGTCATACTGTTTTCCAAAATGGTTATATCATTTTACGCTGTAACTTGCAATGTATGAGAGTTTTACTTGCTCTATATTTTTTCCAACAATTGGAGTTGTCCATCTTTCAAAATTTTAATTCCTTCAAATGAGTGTATAGTGATATCTCACTGTGGTATGAATTTTATTTTGAATCTTTTCATTGCTACACTATACGATTCCAATGATTCTTCCTCTCCTTCAATTTATTTACCTGTTTGCTTTCTAAGACAATATAAAAGGAGAAAGAAGATCAAGTGTCAAAATTCTGGGTGAGTGAAAATTTCCCTAAGTGTTAAAATGCGGAAAAATATGGAGAATGAAACTTCCTAATAAATTACTCCTTCTGTTGATTAGTTTATGACATGCTATTGTAAGAAGAACATAGGACGTATGCCTTTGTCACTAACTGTAGAAACTTGGGGAAGTCATTTGACTTCTGTGAGGATTTGTTTACTCTTCTATAAAATGGGATATCTGTTGTCTCGATCTCAAAGCACTGTTGTGAATATTAAGTGAGATTTATGTAGCAACATAAGGGCTTATTATAAGGTCTTTAAACAAACATAAGCTCTTGGAACTTTTCCAAAGAAGATGAGGACACTCTTGTCTGGTGCTTTAGACATCAGTGATGGAATACATTGTATTTTTAATGACATAGTAGAGAGGCAGCTTGGGTTCTGGAGTTAGAAAACTCAGGTTTAAATCCTACTAGCTGTATAATCATCAAATATTTAATTTTTATGACTCTCTGTTACCTCATTTATAAAATAAATAATAGTTTAGTTGTAGAATTTAATGTAATATGTGTAAAGGGCCGAGTAAAGTATCTGGTATGTAATGGGCACTCAATAATGAATAGCTGTTAATTTAGTTGTTGATTTTTTTAATGCACATTTTAAAATTAACTAGACAAGACAGTCAAAACCTAAGTACCAGTCCATTAAAGTCTAAATGCTGGCCACACTCTGATCATTTTATGAGGAAAAGCAGTCTTGAAAGGGATTTCTTCTGCAAAAATATTTAAATATTTTGTCAAATAAACCAACCCAAAATTCAGACTTTGAAAGATTATTTGTAGTCTGGTTGCACATGAGGGAGGCCAATCTCCTTGAGGTGGCTTGTTTCAAAACTTTAACTAACAGGGTTGTTTTATATTGGATGCTATCAATCAAAACCCAATGAGATAGTTTATTCTTGGGCAATTTAAATGCTAGATACACAGAGCTCTTGTCACTGAATAAGTCTGAGCCAATGTTCCAATCTACCATTGGTCCTGCTATATACCTCTTTCTCAGAAGCTCTAAGATACCAACTAACAATCCTCATGTACACTTTGATAACCTTAATGACTGCAGTGTGTGCTTCTTCTTTGCTTAACTAATACCGTTACCTTCATTGGTAAAATCTGCAATAAGGTGTTGACAGTACCTGCTCCATATTTAAACTCTCTACCTACCAATGATCTTTACAGGTAACATTTTTTAAAAAGGGCTTTTTAATGAATAGTAACAACCCACTTAATTCTTACATTTTCTTACCTGTTTGCATTTTGAAGAACCTCAAATATATTGCTTAGTGTCGTATCATTCTGAAACATATTTGGAAAACTAGAGAGAAGCTGCCACACAGCTGTCTGCTCTTGCACTTGTGAGAAGAAGGTTAGCACTTTGACCATTTCCTGAAATACTGTCTTCTGGTTTTTGGGATCTCTTGATATCTTAAAAATTAAACCACAAACAAGACAAAATAAGACTTCAATACTTGTAATCACATGGCTTACTAACTTTGAAAGCATAAAACATTTAGATTTTTACATAATTCTTTCAGATTTTCATTCCATTTGAAGTCATCTTTTACTTGGAAAAACAATAATCATTTCTAATATTCTTAAACATTGTTGCATTTTTTTCCTATTCCTACAGACATTGGCATCTTTAAAGTTTAATTAACAGAGCTGCATTTATATAAAATATTTTAAATTGTATTTTGGGAAATTAAAATTAATTTCTTAAAATAGAATTTGCTTCTCAGTAATATGTTTGTTTTTCTCTAGGATCTGATTTGGGAGCTACAGACATATCTTCTCTATATTCATTAGTAGATCTTATATTATTTATTATTTGTGTGGTGAATCTTTAAAACTTTATGTATGTATCTTCATATACATATAAATATATTATATATATATATGTGAAAATGTTCACTATTATAATTACAAATACTCAATGGAATACAATATTTCCAAAATACTGTGGCAACACCAGGAACTTTAGTTATAATAATCTACAGTGAGTGAATTTATGTGATAACCATACCTTGTACTATAAGCAAACAAAAACTGTGACTTTTGCTTTTGCTTTATATCACAGGACCCAGCTAGAATTTAAAGTATTTTCTTTATTACATTCCCATCCAAAGCAATTTTATTAATAAGCTTATTCATACTAGTAAAGTCACGCCTTTGTTCTGTCTTAATTTAAAGTCTTTCATGCTGAGAATGTGATTTTGAACAATGTATTCTTAACCGCATATTTACAAATTTACAATGTATTCTTAACCACACATTTACAATGTATTCTTAACCACACATCTACACAACTGCTGAGTTTCTTAAGAAAGAATTTGAAATGCTCTCCATTGGATTGGGATTATTATAACAGTGTCTCTAATCTGGTTCAGTTGGAAAACTTAGATTACTGAAAGGTAATTTAAGCATTCTGTGCTTAAAAAATTATTACAATAAAATTCAGGGAATCAAAGGGAAAACATTATAAGTGGACATGTTTCACTTATTCCTGTTTATAAAATTTCTGTGTATTTTTATGATCTTTCATTGTATGTAGGTTTCATTAAATGTAGATTATTGGTGTTTTATTTTCACATTGTAGTTTAAGACTAGCATATAAAAGTGGTTATTAGCACTCCATAGAATGAAATTTCTTGGTTCTAGTGCATATTTGGGGGAGACGAATATTTAGTTTCATCAAAAATCAACTTTTATTAATTTTAATAAATTAGATTTAATGCTAGTGAGAAAAATTTAAAAGATTACCCATTATTCTAACTTCTGAGCATTATATGGCTCTAATAGTTTAATTAGTAAACTTACATTATATTCTGAGTATCTTCATTCTCAGAGGAAACAGTCTTCAATCACTATAGAGCAAAGTCATATTTTATCTACAAACATGTTTCTACATTAACCAAAATGCAATAATTTTGGTTCAACATTGAAATCATTTCAATTCTGCAAATTTAAATAGAAAGTAGACATTCCTTAGAATTAGACATTATGTGTGAATCTTTGTGTGATGAATTCATGCCAAAGGTCAGCAAATACTCCAGTCAGCATTGTGCAGTCCACGTGGGCTATGGACTTGCTTTTTGACTCATGTTAAGTCTTTGTGGATACAAAAATGAAAACAAGACATTTCTTTCTATTACTTATGAGATATTTACACTCACCTGAGAAAATTGGTTTGTTAGTTCTTGGAGAGAAGACTCTATAAGGGTCATGTTGGATAGGCAAAATTTGTTAAAAACATTTTTCCCTAGAGTGGTCCAAGAGAACGTGTAATCAGGAATATATTCTGGATATCTCTCACACAGCTCTCTTCGTATATCTTCTGAAGTTGAATTTTCCTTTAATAGCTAAAAATGTACGTGAGAAGAGTGACATAATGATGTTAATAAATGTAGATATTAAAGTATTCAAGTCTTCAAGGAAATTGACTTATCTTTATAACAGTCATTTTAAGGTCCTGCATTACAACAATTATTAAAACAACACTAAAAGACACTAAATTTACCCACGAAAAGTCACCTAGAAAATGTGTGAATGTAGTCATTCTTGTCATTATTATGTTTTAAATGATTTTCATATGACTTATTTAACTGAACTCATTTCCTGTCTCTGACCAGAGAACACAAATGCACCAGATCTTTTCTGACAAGAATATTCAGGCATAAAAACCTTAGTTTTTCCTGGGCATTTAGCAGCAGAGACTCAGGTGTCCTAACTCTATGACACTTCATGAGAAATTGGCAATGATCTTTGGAAGACTTTCAAAACATAGGAGCTTGAGAGTCTATTCTCAAGACCAACAGTGTTTATTTAGATATATGGACAAACTTTGATTATTTTTCATTTGTAAAGCAATTACTTCATTTAAGAATTATGCATATGAAGAAAAAAGGAAAACATATATATGAAAATCATAAGAATATATAATTACCAAAAGCAATCATTGGAAAGCATTTTCATTATGGAATCATTATAATACTCTCATATGTTTCACAGTACAGGCCAGTCACAGATGTAGCGCTATTTTCAGCTATAATATTGATCACATTCACCATTATGAACTTGTTTAGATATTTACAACTAATTATATTTAGTTATAATATTTAATGGGTCCTTCTTAATAATAAATTCATGTAACTCTGTAGAGTGATGGCCAACTAACTTCATCGTCCCCTTAAGTTTACATCACAAAATCTATACTATGCTTTATAATGACTCAACTTCTAAATGTAATGGAACAAAACAGGATCCACTTATTCTAGGATATACTATAAGTGCCAAGTTGTCTAGTCATTTATCCATATCTCTTTCCTAACATTGCACATAAGCTCACCCAAAAATGATTTCTCTACTCATTCTTGCAAGGGTTGCAGAAAATAGTAAAGAGAAAGAGGAATCAGAGAGATTGCTGACATGGGCATCAATATCTCATCGTAATTTCTACATCCCTTCCCTGCTCCAACTACTCTAAAAATATGTATCTATACATAGAAAATTCATTTTTGACATCTCCACTGGATATATGAATCCATGCTATCTCACAAAATTCTGAAATTTTATTCCATATGAGAAGGAAAACTTGGGAGTTTCAACATAATGGAGTGGTATTTTTGTGAATACATTGCTCTTCTAGATATTAAATAATTTAACTGATCCAATGCAAGACTGTTTGCTTCTAGGACCAATATGGAAGAAATAGAATGGAATAGAATAACTTTCCTTGGTTTACATAGTAGCCTGATTTGAGGAGGCTTTGAACGGAAATTAACTGGGTACATTGGGGGCTTCCTAGGCCAGAGTGTTTTAGTTATCTCAAGTATTATTTATTATTGAAACTAGATATTTAACTTCTAGATTGGACTAAATTAGAAAAGCTTATATTTCAACCGACACTGGTAAAACTGCTTTGGTGAGTATGGCGCCTTTTCTTGGCATCTATTTTTGTGTTGTCCTTTAGCTTATTTACATAGACCAGTTTATTGAGATTTCCAAGTTATATAGTATTAACTCAAGGGTAACTCACAGAGACATATAAGCTGCAATGTTTATAGTCACTGGAATATGAATAAAAGTCAGAAATATGTCCCCATGATTCAGATGGAAGAAATGTCTCCTTAGGAAGACATGGATATATTATTTCAAATGCGTAAGTGTGTGTGTGTGTGTATGTGTGTGTGTGTGAGAGAGAGAGAGAGAGGGAGAGAGAGAGAGAGAGAGAGAGAGAGAGAATTTGTCTCCTGCAAAATGTTGATTTGACCTCTTCTTAATTTCTGAAGAGCATGTAAAGCAGAACTCAAATGCCTGTAGGGGCCAGCCAAATAACTTAAATATATGAATCCGGCTGGATGAAAGACAATAAGGAAAAGTGGGGGTTATAGTTAATAAAAGAATGCCTGTTCTGCCTAAAGGCATTTAAATTCAACTTCTTAAAATCCCTGTACACACACACACACACACACACACACACACACACAGCTCATAGGCTGCCAGTTAACACCTTTGATAGAAATTATGTGTATTATCTTGCAATCTGAAATCTTAAAAAAAAAATGACTAGTAAACAGAGAGAAATCCATAGATTAGCTCTGTAAATTCCACTAAGGAAAAGAATTTTACTGCTTTGGGGAGATATTTTCCATTGTTCTGCTTTCTCCAAAGGCATTATCAGTATGAATGAGGCAGCAAGCTTAATGAGTGTTACAGCTATGCTGGCTTTCACATAGCTTTTTTTCTTCTCTGCTTCAGAAAATAAAAAGATCACATACAATGCCACCGTATTTCTTACTTAAGGAAAGTCTTAAGTTAGATTAAGAAACTTAACAGGGAAGTAAATAAATATCCAAGATCTTAAAGAAGTCAGAATGTTTCAAAAATAATCTTTTTTTTAAAGGGCTCTAAGAAAAAATTCTTCCCGAGGTATTACTACAAATGGAAAAGATGGCCCAAACCTCTTCTCATTTGGGCTATTCCTCCACTAAATTCAGAGGCATTTGTTCAACTGCTTTTTATTATCAGTCTACTACAAAACTGAGTGAAATTACCTTTTCCAAACCAAGGATCCTGGCAAGGACTTGACTACCATTGAAAGTATCTGTTCCAGTACTTTCCAAATCAGAACTTGGACTGGGAAATACTGTAGCTGTAGTAGAAGAAAGAACAGATTAGATTCTAAACGCACATACACAAAAATGGGCAGGTTCACAAAAGAATCCATAACTATCACTGTCCCTCATATGCCCCACAGCAAGAAAGTGCTCAAATATGCATCTTCCAGGCAAGTTTCATACTTGCAAAATGTAAATTCCATTAGTTTTTCTTTTCACATAAAATCGTGGTGGATTTGGTCTGCTCTTGGTTGTTTTCCAATCGTTTTAGATGTGATTTGCTTTCATTCCAGTTAATGTCATTAAACTTCATCACCAATATTATTGCCTAATAAACTGAATCATTTCTGTGCAGGCCTGTGTGAGGTGCCTTCACTAGCTCCACAGATCCATCATATCCAACATCTGTTCAAAGGATCTGCCAATGCACATCTGGTGATAATGGTTTTCTTTTTAATTATTCAATTGGGAGGCTGAAATCTGCTTAGAATCATAATTCCTCTCCTCCTCAAAGTGGTTTCTGAATGATATTTCAGATCAAATAAATGGGATAAAGCAATTAGTCCAAACTATAGTTTATTTAAATAATTCCCAAAATGGCCTCACCTAGTACTATGTATACCGTGACAGAGAGTTCTGGGTTGATGGCATTAGCTAGAAGGGTTTGTTTGTATGTACAGTGTGGACATTCGTTAAGCCAGTATGTTAACTTTTATAAATTTGGACAGAAATACTTTGTTATTTTCACAGCAAAGAATCTTAATATTCAAAGATACATTGACTTATCACCATTAGGGCCTAGGCTCTATTCTCGTGCCCATGGGGCTGAAGAATTTACCAACTGTGGTAAGCATACACTGTCACATAACAGATAATGTATTATAGAATTGTATACTTGAAACTTATGCAATGTTATTAACCAATGTCACCCCAATAAATTTATCTAAAAAGAAAAAGCCGTACCAATGGATTTCTGTAGACCGAGGCAATACATTTGTGAGATGAGCAGCCAGGGTGAAAAATGTAATCTGTGGCTATCGAGCAAAGCACACTTGCTGGACTATAACACTATGCTCCTATTTTTACTGTGCTTTAACCCACTCAGCCAAATACCCACAAATGATACACAACAGAACCTTAACTCCTCAAAACCACTCACTTACCACCATATTCCTATCACAGTAACCCATGACTTTTTTTATTTGGTCCATCAGCTTGTATTGGAATATTATTTACGTCACAAAATCTTAAATATTCCATGGCATTTTTAAAGACACTTTTTTTTTTCCCCAGACTACAATCATATTCCAACATATGAGAGTCTTCATTCTATTCTCTAATATATCCTCATTAAGACGGTGTTTACAGGATAGCAGGCACCCAGTAAATATTGTCAAATGAACGTAAAAGGGTCCTGCTGTTTCAAGAATTTATTCTCAATGTGTGGCTTCTCAAGACCATCTGCATCAGAATCACTTGGCACAAGGCTCAGGAAGCTCAGCCTGAGGGTTTTCTGAACACCGCAGTTTGAGGGCCACTGGCTTAGCTGAGAGTGAGGGGAAGTACACGATCACACTGAATGACTGCGATACTGAGCACCCGGTGAGAGGAATAAGAGTCTGGCTGACAGAGTTCCAGCCTGGCAGTTGTCCCAGTGCCAGATCTGCTGGGTGACTGTAGGCAGGGCACATAACCTTGTTGGGTGTCATATTCCTCATCTCTACGATGAAAAGTTTGGACAAAGCTCTGCAATGCCATCCAATAATTTTTATTCCTGGAATTTCTAACCATCCCCGCATCATCTAATCACAAATTAAAGAGTCCCTAGTCAATTCTAGGAAAGTGTGCAATTCTCAACATCATATTAGTCCCAACTAGGCTTTCGCTCCCAGAGAATACTTCACTAAGAACTTAATTTCTAATTATTCTCAAGAACTTTGCATAATTGCACTGCCACACTTAGGTAACCATAATAAACATGTAGATCTCTCAGGCATATTCTAAGAGTTTCATCTTTGTTTGAAAAGTATAAACCCTTTTAAAGATTAGCTCTTTCCCGGCTGTTCTAAATTCGGCAGGAGAGAATAACTTACCTGGTGATGCGTGCCTTCTTTCTGGAACTTCGGTGCTCTGGAGTGATAAATTGCTGTCCTTCTGCAGGTTGGATGATTTTCTCAGAATTACACTACAGAAGAAAAAGCAAGAACTCTATAACTTCACCCACATTAATTCCAGTTAGTTACAGCAATGTATTATGTGGCAGATTCCAGGGCTTTCCGAAGACTTTCAAATTTTTAATCTACTTTCTAGGCTTTTAATGGAAGAGCTCAACTGACCGTACACCAATGGATGTATAAGGTCTCCTATAAGGTAAATTTTTTTCAGCTGAAATGGCCCAGATGAGATTTAACTTATTTATTTTTATTTAATCTTATAAAAAGGAAATTATTTTAAAAAGACATTAGAGCTAAAAATTGAAAGTATTTATGATTATATATATATATATATTTTTTTTTTTCTTTAAAAAAGATAATAGATCCCAAATATACAAGACTCCAAGGGGGCTTCAGGAATGGAAGCAAAGTTCTGCTTATTTGTCAAGCTTGAAAGAAAAATAAGTTTTCTATATGAAATTATAGATGTCATTTTGAAGACTGTCAAAGGTGAATACTTGTAAGACAGATTAAAGGAAGATGGAAAAGAACACATATCTAGTCTGTTCCAGGCATTGTGGTTGGTGTCATTAAAGGTGGTACCAGGTAATAAAGGAATAATGAAATGAGCCGATTTTTAATTGTACTGAATATATCAAGACAATAATAATAACATTGGGGTGCCAGGACTCCCTGCATAATGTGATCATCCTAGCTTTTGGAAAACAAAAAACAAAAACATTATTGGCCATCCTCACAATTTAGTAACCCTCTTTTTGGAAATTCATTTCCTATTTAATTGATTATTATTAAAATGGTGATAATCATATTTTCTTGAACATTTGATATACCTCAAGTAAGTGCCTAAAATTAATGTATACATATTTCAAGAATGAAATCAGTCCAAATGCCTAGATTGAATATTTTTCAGAATTTCTAAAAGTTGGTGACTTTTGTGTAGTTGTTTATTTAAAAAAAAAAAAAAAAAAGCTTACTTAAGATACCTAAGGAGAGACAGAACAAGATAACGATGGAAAAGCAAGAAGTTCTGCTTACTCCTGAGGTTCCATTCACCTTCCTTTTTAGAAACAAGATCTAAATCCTGGTTCCAGGGTACTGTGTGATTTGTAATTGGAAAAAAAAAATCCGTGTTTTTTTCTTTCAGTGTGTCCTTTTACTGCACATGATAAGAAGAGATGATATTTGTTTTCATTTCCTAGCGTTTTTTTCAATGTTTTCTAACATGTACTGGTTGCTTAAAAAGTTTTGCATTCTTATTGCCTCTTTGAATTATTCATGACCATGACTGTATTTTTCTCAATATTTTTATATTCTTTATGCTGACTATTTGGATGAGAAATTGTTCAGATAAAAATAAGAATTAACCTGAACATTTTCTCTTCTCTCACACAGAAGTTTTAGAAAATCTGAGAAAAGTAAGGTTCACTTTTCTTTTTCTCAACATTTTTTTTAGTTCAGTTTGAAATACCATAAGGAAGACTATTGAATATCAACACATTTTGAAAATAAAGGGAAAAACTGCCTTCATAAAAATGTTAAGAATTAGGCACAACAACAAAAACCAAAGGGAAAATGACAAAGATCAAAGTGAATAAAGAAAGAGCGAGAAAAAACAGAGATGCATAATAAAAGAGAGTCAGAGGAGAGAAAGAGACAGACAATAGGAAACTAAGAAAGTGTGAGCTTGGAGAAGCAAAAGCTGTATACTTTACAGAGGACTTCTTGCCCATCTTCCCACATTCAGATAAGAGCCCTAAAACTACTATTCTTTAAACACCAAAGAAAAACAAGCTCATCCCTTCCCTGCAAGCCACTGGATCAGCAGTTTTAAATTTGCTCAAATGGCTGCTTCCAGACAAGGAAGCCTCTTTTTCAATAGGACCTGTCCTTGATCAGGAAATGTCCACGATGGCTGCTTCCAGACAAGGAAGCCTCTTTTTCAATGTCCTTGATCAGGAAATGTCCACAGCTACATGGTCTCCCATGAATGAATTCCACATAACAGTAGTGAGGAGGTGGTCCACCTTCTTTTATGTGGCCTCGGCTGGTCTTTTTGTTGGTGTTAGAGCCCAGGATATCATGTGCTTTGACATTCATCTGCTTGCAAATTTTCCCCTTTTATTTTGCATTTACAATGTGTGGTATGATGGCATGTGTCCACTGTCACTGCACTACAAAACTATTGTTTTTTAAACTCTTTAAAATAGAAACTACAATAGAAGTGTTGTGGATAAAAAGATGAATTAGGCCTATAAATTGAAATACAGCTACTTCTGTATTTCAAGCAAAGATAATTAATTCTATTAACACCCATTTAATAACTAAAAGGGAACAGGAAGACAGCCACTCTTGCTGAGTTAGTAATGGCAATTTGAACTTTGTAATTAGCATGACCCTGCTTAAAGACAGAGCACTATATGCTTCTTAGAATGATAAGTGCGAAACAGTATCTTTTCTGTTATTTGACACAATTTAAGCACTTCATACATATTTTATACCGATTATAAGTGTAGTAAATTTGTGTATCTATTCCTACCACTTCTCTATTTGAGGCTATGACATTTTTGGAAGTAGGCACCATGTCTCATTCATCTTTTTTTCCAAACACTTAACATAGTACTGGACCATAAGATCGGATGGCTGATTAAATAAAAAGAGACAGTATTGCTAGGATGTAGCAGAAAGAGTTTGGAGATAACGGATACCTTCGGACTCCCCACTCTGTCTCTTCCTAAAAGACCTCAGTCATTGCCTCTCTCATCTACAAATTAAGAATGATATACCTATCTTGCGAGGTTGTTGTGAATACTGTATGAGATGTGCTTATCAAGTGCCTATCTGGTCCCTGTCATCATAAGCTCTTAGCAATATTAACTGTCAAAGTTCCCACAAAAGAAGATGGTGCAAAGATACAGACTTCACCATCAGCAAGAGCTGAAGCTTCATACTTATGCATCTATGCTCCACATATACTTTGTTTAGAACACTAGAACTTTCAAGATCTCTGGACACCAGATGGATGCAGCCTTATTATTCATAGATCTAGAACTAGCAAACATTGTCTACTGAGGTAGAACAAGGCAAAGGGCTTCACTCAGGGTTTCTCATTTTATTATTAATTTATCGATTTACTTATAAAAGGAGTATTTCATTCATAGTAATGACAAATTTCCCTCTTTTTAGACTTGGAAATTCTTGAGAAAAGTCTACAGTGCCCTGTGTTGGCAAATGGTAGGATGTTTAGTGCATAACAAGCATTGATTACTATATAATAAAGACTATTACTTGGAGGAACTGATACTATGAAAGTGTCTTTTTTACACAGCCTGGTCTGCCCTATATTGTTGTATACTTGGTTCTGCAAAGGAGACCCCCAGGAATGGCGCCACAGTCACAAATGTATAATCTTACACCATACTCACCATATTCATTCATTAACTTACTAACAGTTATTAAATTCATGCTATATATTATATAATGGGCAAGTCAAATAAGAAAGCCAGGAATTACAATGTATTAATGGTATTAGCTAAATAAGAATATGCACAGGGGATAAAGGAAACAAATGACAGGGGCCACTAAATCAGAATTATCATTTATGTTTCTTGTAGAGCAAGATCTTAGAATCATAACTTTAATTCAAAGCTCTTGCCACCTTAAAATTTTTCCTTCACCCTTGTGCTAAACCAGCAGTTCTCAACTAGGGACACCTTTGCCCCTTCCATCCCAAGGGACATTTGGCAATATATTTTTCCTTCACCCTTGTGCTAAAACCAGCAGTTCTCAACTAGGGACAAAAAATTTTTCCTTCACCCTTGTGCTAAACCAGCAGTTCTCAACTAGGGACACCTTTGCCCCTTCCATCCCAAGGGACATTTGGCAATGTCACAGCTCGAGGAAGGTGTGCTAAAACCAGCAGTTCTCAACTAGGGACAAAAAATTTTTCCTTCACCCTTGTGCTAAACCAGCAGTTCTCAACTAGGGACACCTTTGCCCCTTCCATCCCAAGGGACATTTGGCAATATATTTGATTGTCACAGCTCGAGGAAGAGTATTACTTGCATTTAGTGGATAGAAGCCAGGGATGCTGCTAAACATCCTACCATGCACATCACAACAAAGAATTATCTGGCTGAAATTGAAAAACGCTGTATTAGGCTATACCAGAAATGGATTTATTCCATGATGACTGATCCTCATTCCCACTCCCTAGGACCAAATTAGGAAACTTATAAATCCTTTTCAGGAACTCTGAATAATTCAAAGGAAGTCTCAGAGAATTTATCTCATATTGGATACCTCTGGGAGGTATATTAGATTCTTATACAAAATTTAGATGACCACTGGATCTGGCATGTAAGCCTAGCTGAGTCTAGAAAATATATCCTTCTGGGTGAGGCAAGAAGATCTGAATCAAATCTCCTAGTGGCCCATGCTACCAATTATCTACCTTTTACTGGACCCAGCCACATGTGTAGTAATATGGAGATGGCTAAGGGCCTCTCGTCTAGGATACGAAAGTAGATCTGCCTCAGTGGTACTAAATAGGGCTTAGGGCTCTGCTTTGGAATGGAGTTCAATAAAGAAAACTTCTTGGATTCAAAATGCTAAATTTCAGATACTGAGAGGAAAACTAGGCCCAGAGTAGATTGTACTTCTCAGACATGTCTACCAATAGTTACATTTGGGAAATGTCACATTTCTATAAATTCTATATCAACTTATGCACTTCTACTGGGTGTCTTTGTATTTCCTGTGAGTGGAAAGACTACCTGTGTAGGTGGTATCCATGTGTGCCATGGTACATTCTGTCTATAAAAGGAATTCCTACCAGAAAAGACACATATGGCAAATCCTGGAAAGAAAATTCCGATATTCTTTTTTTGTCTCGAAGGGTTAGTTAAACTTTTTATATATTTTCCTCTTTTTCTCCAGAATTATAATTATATGGGTATGTAGTGACACCTGGAAAGAAGATGTGGGATGTACTCTAAGCCCAGTTTGATCCCAGGTCCAAATAACATTCATTATTGACTTGTAACTACAAATAAGGACAATGCAATAGCATCAGGTCCTTGTCAGTGATTTTATGCAATTATACGTCCTGGCTATCTCCAAGCAGAAGTCATTCAAAAGAAAAAATTTAATATTTTTTCATTGTTTTCTTGTATTTCATTCTGACCTTTATTCTGTCAGGGTCATCCATATTTCAGACATAATTCTGTCTGCCAATGTTCAATATACCTCTCTTCTAGGTGGCTCACTTACCAATCAACAATCTATATCAGCTAAGATGTTCAGATTTAGAAATATCTCAGTATGTTGCCTTGGCCTAGGGTATTTTTTGTTCTTAGGAGAGAATTTGAATACACACACACACACACACAGACACACACACACACACACACACACACACGGCAGGTAAGACATCCTTCCACTTTGTTTTTTCATAAATAAAATTTTAACTTTTATTTTATCATGAATATTCACTGAAATGATGACTAAATGTTCATAAATGACTCTGAAATTAATCCAATATTAGACATATACATCCTACCTCATCTTTATAATCAAGCGAAGACATATGTTGTTCTACTTCCTCTTAGCTTATATTCTCAATAATATCTTTCGGTCAAATTCTAAACACATATTTTTCAATACTAAACAAAACCTTCAGAACTTTAAAATTATCCCAGAATAAAATAGATTAGCTATGTTTCAAGTTCTATAGGAGTCATTTAATAGAGCAGAAGTATGTTGGAAACCACAGATCATGGATGAGTGTCAACATGACAGAGATAGGGAGCAAATCCATACAGGCAATCTCCCTACAGGATCTGAAGGAATGCTGAATCACTTCTTCAAATAATGATCCTGTGAGCTCTGGAGGCTGATCTTTGCCATTCTCCAGCTGTGTGAGCAATAGCACCGCCAGGTCTCCCGCTGTTCTGATGCATCTTGGAGGCAGTGCAGGAAGGAAGGACTACAAGGGTAAGTCCTGTGATGTTGGATCATCCATTGTGCAAATGAGCAAGAAAACCATAAATGTAATCTTTTTTTTTTTCAGACAGCTAGTTAGAGTTGATGCTGAGTATAACATTGGATTTTTTTCAGCACCTCATCCTGAAGCTATTGCCTAGAGAAGTATGAATTTAATAACAGAAAGATAGTGCCAATGCAAAAACACATCAGAACACTTGGCAACTGGCCAGCAAGAAGTGACTGCTGTGTGATCTTGTCTTCCAGAGAGCATTCTATTACAATAGACATGGTGGGCCTCTTGTGATGAAGCCAAAAATGGCATTTTTTTCTCCTTACTTATAAAACAGAAAAGGAAGACTGTCTTGTTTCTAATGAAGCTATGCTGGTGAATCTTTCTTCACCAAAGGGAAGCAATTTAGTGGAACGGCTTATCCAGTAACCATGCCCAGTTTCATTTCATGGATATATAAAACATAAAAGTTAATAGCATGGTGGGAAATATAATTAATGCAATTTTACTATTGTGCATAATTTTCTAGATTAAACTCCAATTACTTGGTAGTTTAGAGAAAATACTAAATATTGAACAATATACAGCTTGAGCTAGATAAACATCTGAAGGTTAGGATAAAATAAAAAAAAAAACAGACATCAACAGAGGATAAAATAAATCTGGACTTTAATTCTAGATCCAAAACCCACTCAATGGCTCATTTCGAGTCACTTTTATGAGTCTGGTTCTCTATTATATTACATAGAAAAATACTTCTTTGGAGGGAGGTATATTTATATACTTCTTAGATATTATTAACTGTTTCCCTCATAGTTGCTGTGTTCTTCATTTTAAAAAAAGTATAAAGAAGAGAGCCCCAGGTAAAGCTATAATCTAACTTGTAAATAATGGACATTAATTCTTCCTGTATCTTCTGTAACACTTGGTTCATGAGTTCATCTCGAGCACAGCCTCTTCATGAAGAGTTACCTGATATCTCCAGCTGAAAGTTTTTCTATTTTAAGTATGGAGGGTTTCTAGCTTCAGCATCCTCTGGCACTCTTCATTACACTATCTACTATTATTGTCATTGATTGAATATTTCCTTCCCCTGCTAGAATGTAGGTATAGATCTTGCTTAACTCCCCACTCAAAAAGGACATGTAAACCATCTGTGAACTGGCTGAACCAAGAATGCCATACTTCCACCTTACCTTTACACTGACTACACAAGAGGCCATAGGCCCTAGTTAGCTTTTAGCCTACTTGCAGAGAAATACAACTAGTGCTAGTGGAAATAATGCTTTGTATACGCCTAGAACATGTTAGTCATATAGACAATATGTCATGTCATTTCTCTGCTTAAAACTTTCCAATGGCTTCTCTTTACATTAAAAATAAAATGCAAATCCCTTCTCTTTCCTTACATGTTAGATTCTAAATACTCTGTTTCCTGTGGTCTTTTTCCATATATCCACTACCAGTTTCATCATCTCTCATTATTTTCTAGCCATATTAGTTGGTTTTCTGTTCCTCTAAATGGTTATTTTTGTCCCGACCTCAGGATCATTGGCTATTTCTCTGCCTGGAACATTCTGTTCCAGATGTTCACATACGGGTGCTGGTTTCTTCCTGTCCTCATTGGTCTTTACCCAAATGTCCCCTTCTCTCATCACTCTATTAAATTCATACCTTTCAACTTCTACCTCTTAATCTGCTTTATTTTCTTGCTATCATACTATCAGTGATCATATTATTTATTTATGTGCTTGTCATTTTTTTTATTGCTCTTCCATTAGAATGCAAGCAACAATTGGTTAAAGAATTTGTCTGATTCACCTCTCTGTAACAGTGCCTAGAATGATGGCTGGCACGCAGAAATTTCTCAGTCATTGTTTCTTGAATAAATTAATAAGTAAATGAATGGGCATCAGAATGTTTTAAGCCACAAGACTAACTGAAATGACAAAACCAATGTGAATTAGCAACTCAACAATTATGTGTGTCCCAAGTTATTTCCCATGACGATTCTTGACGTGTTTATATTTTAAGCTAAACAGCTTGTAGTTGCTCTCTCTTAAAGTATCACCCATATTATTTGATGACCAAAATTATGCTGATGGTATTTAAGGAAAACTGGTGCTACATGCTAAGGAATTGAAATTAAAATTTTGGAACAAAATATCTCTGATTATAGATAAATATAGTCTTCTTTGAGATACAGTTTTAGAAAATCTCTATCAGAATTATATCATGGTCAACTCAGATTACAAAATTGTTTGCATATCTATAGATAGGTGGGCTCCTGGGTGGTCTCTTTAGAGTTAGAATCCCAGGATGGAAAATTGAGATTGTTAATGGTCAGGTTGCAAATGGTCTAGATTCTCTATTTTTATTGTTCAGCTGGTTCTCACACCATATAATAGGACACACATTAGCATCATTTAAAGGTTGTAATTCACTTAAGTATACTTGCAATTTTATTACATTAATTTCTAGGCCCTTAATTTCCTTGTTTGCATTTCCTGGTTTCTGTTATATCTAGAAGTAACACATAGAGTGATATAAATATGTCATTCTCCCAGGAGATATTGCCCTTGACATTGCCCTAAATCTTATGCTTATGAACAAGTTGTAGGGCAATGTATCACTGACAATTTGAGGTGAGATAGAGAATCTTTGAGGGAATTAAAGGAAGACTGCCTTGGTCTCCCAGTTTAAAAAGCCAAATTTGGGTAATTCATCCAAAATATGTTATGCTTAATTGCACATAAACATGGTAATTCTAGCTTGTACCAATACTGTTCATTCATAATTAGATTGTCACATTTGTAGATATGTAAAATAAAGGTATATACCTAACCTAGGACAGCTTTTTGTATATTTCATAAAGAGATAAGATCTGGCCTCTCAAAACAACTGAACACACTTGGGACATGCTCCTACCTGTCTTTAAATAGTGCATCATCAATCCCTTTCCTACGAAGCAGATCTTGTGGCCCATAAGGTGTGTCTTTGCATTTAGAGTCTGTGTCACAGAGTAGGGTTTGCAGGAATGGGAAGAAGCCGGTACTGGGAAGGTTTCGAGGTGCAAGGTAACCTGAAATCAGAAAACAAACAATAATTATGTCATTATGAAGTTTGCCTGGGAAGAAAAATAGATGTAGTAACTCTGTTTTATGACATTAACTTCTAGATTATGATTGTCTGTGTCTCTTACGTACTAAAAGAGTTAAACATTTCATGACTTCCTCTTCCTGAAATTTATTCTAGAGAAATAGCTTCAAGAGTGTGTTCCAGAGTGTTTTAAAAATAAATCAAAATATAAAATGCAATGCAGCCAATAAAAATGTTAGGAAATAATATAAAAAATGTATATAATATATCATTAATTAAAAAGAGCAGATCAGAAAACAGTATGATGAGAATAGTCCTAATCTTTTAAAAACATACAAATATATGCATATTTAAAAATATAGGGGTCTTTTTCCCCTTCAGTGGTATAATTCACATGAATTTTATTTACTTTTATTGACAATATATTAACTATTTTTCCCCATGATGTTTATATCTTCTTTTATAATTAAAGTCATTACAAATGCAGCCAATATTTCAGCTACCAGTAAATGTTTTCGGTCACCTCAAAAATTAACATAACAGCTAAATTAATTATCCTAGACACACAATAGTTTTCTTACTTAAAAACCAATAAAAATAATGTAAATAAATATGCAGATTTTCCTCAACATTAATGTCACAGGAAACAAGAACTATAACAGTAAAGGGTTTTGTAACCTTTACTTTAACATTTGCTTTATAAAATGTGATGATGGCATACACATGAGCCAAGATAATAGTCAAGCTGTGAAGTGCAAATCTTTCCACAATTAGTTTTTATATTGAAACACTAGATTCCTCCTTGGGGGAAATACAGAGACAATGAACTTTCCAAAAAGGCAAATATAGAAACAAAAAGGTTATTCTAAACTGAAGACTAAAAAGCAAAACTTAACTTTCTTGTGAATTTGCTCAAAAGAGTGTCTGTTTTCATTATAAAAAGAAAGAAGAGTAAAAAGTGGGAGGAAAAAATAGTAAGAGCACTATGGTTAGGAATGTATTAATGTATTAGCAGAGAAAATAAAAAATAGAAATTTGATCTAAGTAACTTAAATATAAAACTACATAAAGCAAGAAAATTAGAAATAAAAAGCAAGAGGTATAGGAAAATTGGCCAGATGAAAAGTAAAGAGAAAAAAATGGAGAGATTGGAAGATGCTATATTGTTGATTTTGAAGATGGAAAAAGAAGACAAAAGCCAAGGAAAGTGGGTAACCTCTAGAAACTATAAAGTAGGCAAGAAAACAGATTTTCCTGGAGCCTCCAGAAGGAACGTAGTCCTGCCAATACCATAATACTTAGCCGCTAAGACTAACTGTTGGCTTCTAATCTCCACAACTGTAAAATAGTGAGTTGGTGTTCTTTATAAGACACTAAGTTTATGGAGACTTGTACAGCAGTCACAAGGGAAACTAACACGTAAAATAATACCAATATGAATAAAGTTTTGAAAATTCAGAAAGAATCGGAAAGACCTTAAATCCACCAGAATATTCGCTACTCTTGTAAGCAGCTTCTCTTTCTGACACCAGAAAGCCCAGGGTCTCTCCTAATATTAAACCTGAGTGAAAATTGCAGTGACCCTGCAAGGTTTTCATTTTAGTTCAATTCCCCGAATAAGCTGGAGAGTCGCAGTCGAATTCCCCGTTAACAGTTTCATATTATCCTTCTACGACAACATTCTGCCGCAGTGAACTGCACACAGCATGACCTTTACAATTCTGCAGTGGAGTTTCATCCTTAACGGTAATCCACCCTGTTACACAGATCCCAACTGTGGCCACTTACTCAGGGTGTGTGTCTGCTTATTCTGACTCCTTGTCAAAAACATGCAGTAGGTTGTTCGAATGAAAGGAAAATAGAAGGGCAACAAACACAATAACCCCTCTGATCTATGCCACTTATCAAGGTGGTGGTGGCAATGAGCCAGGCAGTGCTGAAAACAGCAGAAGTTCAAGAGAAGCTTTCGTTGTAGGTAACAGGAAGAAAGGAAAAAATGGAAGAAGATGTCATGGGATGAAGACCTGGGAAGAGGTGGCACATTACCTCAAATTTAACTTATTCTGCATTTATTACAATTTGTGTATTATTAGAAAGGAATTTGAAAAATTTGAACTCACAATATTCTTTGATATTACTATCTGTAGAAATGCCTACTCAACAGGAAAATTCATCACAGGATTTCCTTAAAAACAAGTCCCCTTGGTGTTTAAAGTACACACAATATATGCATTGCACAGGTTTTTCTTTTTGATAACTAATATTTAACCAGTTACAATGGGTTTAATACAGTTAACACAGTACCATTCAGAGCAAGATGCTAATTTTACCATCATCTTTTAAACAAGAACCACACACTCATTAAGAAGAGGGCTGCTGAAACAACATTAGCTCTGATTTATTAAACATCTACTGTAGTCCACATGCTGTGCTAGATATGTCACATACATTTGTCATTCACTCTTCTTCGATATCCGTAACATACTTTCTCATGCGCATCAACTTTTCACAAAACCTATAAATCTTCCAGAACTAACAAATCATAATTAACTAAAATTAAACTTCATTGTCTCTTTCCTGTAAAAAAGTAGATTTTTCAATCTTCTGCCCATCTCGGTTATGGGTGCAAGAAAGGAATCACTCAGAGTGATGGTGGAATGAAATCATCACGTTTGAAAGAGTTACTAATCCTAAACTGAACTTGTTCTACTCTGAAGGTGTCTCTGGCACTTTTGGGTTCCAAAATTATGTTTCTCTTTATATTCCCAAATGCTAGGATGCAGGAAAAAGAGGAACATTTCTCTGTCTCATAGAACTTCCATGCATCGATCATGGATCACGCAAAGTTAAGACTAATAATTGGTTCCTGTATTCACAACCAGAGCACAGAGTTACAGCTACAAATAGAGAAATATTACAAGCGTGCAAAACACAGCACTACTTGCATGGGGAAAAAAACAAACAAACAAACAGATCTCAGGGTCTTGGGATGGAACGTTTAGGCAGGATAAAATCCTTGGTATCACGATTCCCAAAGATCACACACCCAGGAAAATATTCATGCCCATTTCTAGGAGAAAAGCTATTAAAGAACTTGTAATTTCATGGAGGAAAATTAGAGTCAGAAGACTCCAGCTAGGGAGAGAGGTGGGGTCAGTGGATAGCAAAGTTCAAGTCACTTATGGCTTAGTTTCTTAGGGGCTCCAGGCAGGGGCAGTGAGGTTGTCTAAGGAGCCCCTCATGGGTAGGGAGACGTAATTATCCCAGTCAGCATTATGGACACAGTCCAGTAATTACATTGACAGAGTTCATTGTTATTTCAGGGAGTAGAATCAAACCAGACTATAAAACACTTTTAGAAATAAACCACCAATTAACTAAGCTTTTAATTAAATCAAATTTCTTTTTCATGAAGAATGAAAATAGAACGTGGTTCCATAGTGTAGTGGTTAGCATGTCTGCTTTACATGCATAAAGTCCTGGGTTCATGCCCCAGTGGAGCCACAGTCCATGGTCTATAGCCATGCCACCCTCAACAAGCCCGATGTCCGATCTCAGAAGCTAAATAATGTTGA